CTGGGGTCTTAAGCAAGCTATTTTTATTTTAATTGTTATTGTCTCACAACTGTGCACATTGTAGCAAACAGTTGATCAAATGACACGAGCCAGGGAGGGCAGTTCTCACCCTCTCTGCAGTCCCAAATACAAGGAAACCAGCTCTAACAAGCACAGGAAATTCTGAGCTGAAAGTTGGTGTAGGCTTGCAGAGTATTTTCAGGGAAAGGAGTGGGGAGAATCAAACATGGGTATTCCAGCCGTTTGCCTGTTGCCACCACTGGAAGCTGGTGCTGCTGCGTGATGTGAGGTATGTTACTGAGGCTGTGTTCCCTGCTGCACATCTGTGTAGCTTTTGGAGAGTAATGTGGGTTTTCCTGCCCCCTGTACTAGCAGATTGTCTTTTCTTTCCAGATTATTCAAAAGTTCACCTAACGCAGCTACTGGAAAAAGCTGAAGTGATTGCAGGCCGTATGCTTAAACTGTCTGTTTTTTATCGGAATCAGCACAAAGAATATTTTGATTATGTCAGGTAAGGAAGTAAACACATGCAACATTGTTTGTCAAATTAAGGGAGTAGTGAAAATAAGTAAATGGAGGCAGCTGTGCTAAAGCTGGAGCACAATGTCTGTATGCTTTATTTGCCAGTTCAGAAGAAGGGAAAAAATATATAACTGATTTCTTCCACCTTGCTTAACTCAGCACTTCCATTAGGTAAAAAGAGTTTGTGTTTTGAAGCAGAAACTGAAGTACACACAGGGTCTCCAGCCCGATTAAAGTATCTGTTGTCATAGTGGAGTGTTTAGTAACCAAATACTCCCAGTGTACTGAGAAATTCGGAGTGAGATGTCTAATGGTAGGAGGGCACAACAGTGTGCGTAAGGCATTTGGCTGCATATAAGAGTTCCATCTCAAATATTTCCCTTTCATATACAACCACCCACTTCTATTTCCAGATGTAGTAAGTGGGGCTCTGCAATCTGAATGTTAATTAACAGCTCAAGTGGGGAAGGAGAGGGGGTGATATTTAGACAATTTTACAACATTGCTTCAGCTGGAATGGATAAATGGGATAGCTGGAGGTAGATTCCTTATTCCTGTTGGAGACCCAGTGTGCCTTTGTACACATATCTGGAAGCATCATTACAACAGGAAAAGAAAACTTTTCTGTAGAAGGCGTCACGACTCACGCACTGACTGAGCAGGAGCAGCCACCATGCAGAGGTAACCTTCCACCACTAGAAGGACGTGGTTGAGAGGTGAGCGGTGTGTGGAAAGCTGTTTCAGCACTGTGTCAGAAGGGTGGCAGCACTGACTGCTTCTCTGAGAGATGGGGCTGCCGCTGTGGCACGTAATTCCAGTTTCCTGTGGGTGTCACAGTAGCACCTGTCTAGAGCTGGAAGGTTTTTAAAACTGGTGAAGAAACAAAATAGTCAAGGGAGTCCAACTCCAAAGGGCAGACTCCACCACCCTTGGAAATGTCGCCATGTTGTACTCATGAGTATCTGCTCAGTTCCAGAAGTGTTGTGTATATTACAGAGCATGAAGTTTGCTTCTTCCCTTTGTGTTTTGGAAGAATTATTTTATTGCACATAGTGACAGAGCTGCAAATCTCAATGAAGGTAGAAAATGAATTGCAGTTGTTGAGGCTCTTTGAGGACTTTATAAATCTCCGCTGCCATCCTGGACTAGATACCACAGAAGGGAAAACCCCGTGGTGGCTCTGATTTATCGTATAGCTTTGTTTTCAGCTATGTGACCATAGTCACCTGCCTTTGTATTCATAGAGCTTTGAAGATTGCTATGGAGGTGGATTTGTAGCTGTGCGTTCAGGCTTGTTCAGCCAAATGTGACTCTGATTACATGGTATCTTTTTCCCTCCTTCCTATTATGTTCTCTCTTGAGTCACTACAAATAGAGACAAGTTTGTTTTCCTTTGTGTTAGTGAGTGATAGAGACAAAAAGCTGTGTTTCATCAGGTCAATATGCACTAATATGGTCACAAGGGCCAGTCCTTCTACAATACACCATTTCATATGTTAGATTAAAAACCCTAACTGCATGCTTCCTTTTATGAAAAATTCCTTGTCATACCATGCCTGTCAATGGCTTCTATGGTGTCATAACTAGTAAACAATCTTGGAAAACCTTATAGAGCAGTTCTAGTGTCACTGCCAAACAAGCAACTGTCACGGTGCTGAGACAGCAACCCCTAAATGCAGGGTTTAAAGTGTGAGCTTGTAAGTAGTGTTCATGTCACTCTGCTGCTTGCCTCAGCCGGGAGCATCATAAAGCAGCTCAGATTCCCGGGAAGCGTGACCTATAATTAGCCTAATTGGCCACTGGATGTCAGTATCTTGCCATAGAAATGGCACTGCAAGAGGCCTGGATTTTTAAGTTGCAGAAACCGGGGTTATTCAAGATGGTTTTGTTTTTGTTGGTTTTCTTTTTATCCGTAGTAGTAGCTTCAGTCATAAAATAGTAATTTTACCCCCATACACATGCCCCCCAGTCAACATCTTGTGAAAAAGGGCTTGAGACAACTGTAGTCTTTGAATGGCCAGAAAACTTTTGTAATAATTTATTTTAGAGTTAAATGAAGATATGCTGCTGGGGAGAATAGAAATAATGACAAAACCACAGTTGGACACATTACTGAGTTGATTTAGAGTTGATTTGTGTGTGTACACCTGTCTGTTTGCTTTGACTCCTACCTCCACTTTAACCAAGTAAAACCTTCTCCCACACAGCATCATTTACCTGGTGCTCTTAAAAGTTAAAACCAGCACGAGGGAGGGGACAGGCTTTCTTGGCTAGTTTCCTCTCTCTTCAAAAGAAGAAAAAAAAAGTAAAGCAAGAGGTGGATGAAAGACTCTCCAGCCCCACAGTCTCATGCATTTTTGATCTGTCATTGTGTATAATGGCGCTTTCATAGGGTGCTAGTAAACATGCTGTGTTGCAGGACTTACAAAAGGGGATGCTTCCCTTTCTGGTATGTCCTGGGTGCAGAGCATGCCAAAACTGTCACTATGGCATTTCCAGAGAGGTGTTGGGCACACATTCTAGGAAACATCCTGCTAGACACAATCTCAGGTGCTAAGGAGGATTAGATGAGGTGTTTTGGACTGTTCTCCTGAATTCAGCGGCCTAATGCTCCTCAGTGCAATTTGGGATTTAGGGTTTTAAAAATTCACTTGTTGCACTGAATGTTTCTTTTCACAGGAACCAAACTGAGCTAAGCTTGCAAAAAGAAAAAGGAGTTATAGTCTTGTACATGTTTTCCCCTTAGGATCAGTGACTGCAGGAGCTGGATACCAACCAAAGTGGAAAAAAAACAATATTCTGTGCCCAGCTCTGCTCTGATTAGTCAGCAGTAGAGAAACTAGACCTGAAATTACCATTTGGGGGGGGGGGGGGGGAGAACCAATGGCAGACAGTAAATTTGTTCCTATAAGCTCTCTGAAAAGCATCATTTAGAAACAACTTTAGCCAGCAGTTTTCTATGTTAAGTATATACTGCCTATGTTAAAAATACATGGTAACAAACAGTATGTTCAACATATTGAGACTGACTTGCAATTTTCAACATATGATTAAATTAATATGTGTTTATTGTTAGAACTGTAGTGGAAGGCTGAACAAATCAACTAATTAAAGATATTGGTGGTTTGGGAGCTTTTTGTTTGTGCTATTCTTTGCCTGCACATAATACCCACACAGCTCACAGCTGACAGAGAAGCCAGACTGGAAAAGCAGCTTTTCCCCTTCAGCAGGAGTTACTCTAGCTCTTCCCAAGTCTAGCATCACTTGGTTTCCTTGCTTCTAAAATCATGACACTAACCACACTTCTCAGCTTAAGGGTTTTCCTTTATGTCCCTTCCCTACTATTACCAAAGAGCATGACGACCGAACTTTCCACTTTTTCTTTAACATGTGTTACAAAATAAACAATACCAGTCATTCATTTGTAGAGAGCATCATGGGAATGCTATGCAGCCCTCTGTTAAGGATAACAGTGGCAGCCACGGCTCTCCAATCAGTGGGAAGCTGGAAGGCATCTTCTTTAGCTGCAACACTGAGTTTAACACTGGGAAGCCACCACAAGATTCACCTTATGGAAGATACAGATTTGAGATTGCAGCTGAAAAACTCTTCAACCCAAACACTAACTTGTACTTTGGAGACTTCTACTGCATGTACACAGCCTACCACTATGTCATTCTCGTTGTCGCCCCTGTTGGATCACCAGGAGATGAATTCTGTAAGCAGCGCCTTCCTCAACTAAATATAAAAGATAATAAATTTCTAACCTGCGATGAAGAAGATGGTGTTATGGTTTACCATCATGCCCAGGATGTTATTTTGGAAGTAATTTACACTGATCCTGTGGATCTCTCCCTCGGCACAGTTGCAGAAATTACCGGTCACCAACTAATGAGCTTGTCTACTGCAAATGCAAAGAAAGATCCCAGCTGCAAAACCTGCAACATCAGTGTTGGACGTTAAAACTTCCCTCGTTACTTAGGAGCCTTCAAACCTCTGTTGCCCAATTCCATAGTCAGACATTTCTGTCGGAAGCATGCACATGCCGCTGTCACCAAAAGCAAACACGAGTCTTCAGAATCTCCAATAGCGTTTTTAGTATTTCTTCTCTCCCTCTTTCCCTTCTGTTTCCCTAATGCTTTAAATGATTAGAAGTCCTGGATTTCTTTCTGGCAACCATTTATAACTAGATGCTGCAAAAATTGTTTTCTGTTTCTTGCCAAATGTAACAAAATCCTATATAAACTGCTTTAGCAAAATAAAAATAACAGCTTATAAATGGTGTTTAAATATGCATTCATTTTAACTACTGAACAAATACTGGGATAATTCCAAACAGCATGAAAGGTTGTAATTGCAGCATGATTTGAATTTCAGAGCCTAGAAATGTCAGCACTTCCAACGTGTTGTTTGACAGTGTTATTTATGTTATTTATATTAGCTAACTGAAAACAGAAACTGTGTCTCAACATAATAAATATAATAGAAAAATATTTTATTTGTACTGTTGTATAAAATATTATACAATCATATAGAATATATAGATTACATTTTAATATCAATTGTATACATATGTCGTGAAATCATTTTCCCTTATCAAAGATGTAGTTTGTAAACTTCAAATAGCTCTGTATCTGTTCCTGTTGCTCTAGATGACTTTAATTAAAACAGATTTATGAAGGAGACCATTTCTGATTCATAAATGTTACAAATTAAGTCACTCCACTCAAACAAACAACAAACCTCTGAGAAATAAAAAAAAAAATCCTTTTTTAGTATTCCTACTTTTTCCTCCAACCTACTTCAAGATGTGTATGTCTTCAAAATCATGCCGAGCCATTACATACAATGTAAATACAAACACGAGTGGTACATAAGAAACTTTATGAAATGAAAATCTTCTTACAAGATAGAAAAGAGGTTGCTTATACAACAGGGGCAATACAAAATGACAGTTAAAGCAAAATACCAAATGTGATTTAACTTATTCAAGTCCCCCTTTTTTCTTTTTATTTTTTGTTAAATACTTCCTTCCTTTATGTCTGGGGTAGCTATTTCCTAGAATCCCTGCTTTTCATTTCTAGTATAAAAGCCATTGATAATCCTTCTGTTAATAGTCTACATTTCGCACAAATGGTCTATCACAAATAGTGAAAAAATCTTAATATTACAAAGTGTGGTGCTCTGAAAGTTAAGAAAGACACATAATTCCAATGGAAAAATAACCTTATATAATCTCATCTTTTAGTAAACAAGAAGTCTAGCATTCCTCATCAGATAACCGTAGCAGTTATATGCCATGTACTTCATCTATCCAAAATATCTTAGCATAATGCAATTATCTAGCCTTTTTTTAATACATATATATATATACGTAGCAATCTGTAACACAAGAAATACTTTGACATTTTACAAAGTGCATGCATCTAAATGAGCTTTGGTACTTCGAAAAGCAAATATTTGTTATAGCATCAGGCAAAATAAAGTGCAAAGTTTAATACAGAAATTAAAATTAGCATGTAGTTGATCTATTTACTGAACTTTAAGTATGGTGAGCCAGGTTGTATGAACTGTATTGAAAAGGACAGCAGCCAGTACATTTGTTTTATCTCTTCCCAGTAAACCGTATCTATTTTGTTTTGTCAAAAGTCTTTCTCTTATTTCTGAAAAAACAATAGTTTTATTTGGCAGTCACATTCCATCCATTCTTCCTTTTCTTTTTCTTTTCTTTTTTTTTTTTTTAATTTAATTTGCTTAGGCAGCATCACTTTATTTTACTCCCAGAATTTTAGACAAAATCCTGGTTCTTTGAATGCAGCTTTCTTTGAAGCTACTGTAACTGAATGGCACCTCTGTCTCTAAAGATTAGAGTATGGTCATGATTTTTTTCTTCATTTGTTTTACGCTCTTGTTTCTTTTAATCTAGTGAATTACACATTGAGAAGCAACACTAATAGTTAATTATCATGCAAGTTAATTCTGGTAAGAAATGTGTGGTACATTACCGTGTACTAAGAAAGATGTACTAAAAACCTGGAGAGTATTTCCTCGCACCTTTTTAAACTAAGAGCAGGTCAAAGCGAGGCTCAACATTACATCAGTATACTTTTAATTTCTAATGTTCTCACAGTGCATTTCAAGGCTTTTTTCAAAACAAAAAAATATATACTATAGTCCACTCACCTGTGCTTTATATTCCTGCATATTGCTGTCCTCTCTCATCCCAGCTAGTATAACTGGTAAAGTGCATTAAAAAATCTCAATGTTAAACAATTGTGCAGCAGACCAAGATCTGTAAAATTGCTTCCTCTGTTTCATTACTTGTTTGCTTGTGTTTTGTTTTGTTGGTTGTTTTTGTTAGAGGACAATACCACAGCACTACATTCACTTCAAATCGTTTTGGAAATATCATGCTTACTGATGAGAACCTCCAAGAGCCTAATTTTGGCTTTTGTGTGCTTGTACTCTGTGTATTCCTCAGCCATTGGCGCCCGATCTTCTTTTTGGGGACTTCTAGGAAAAACAAATGAAAGTGCCATCACTTTTACAAGTATGAGGACAAAACAGTCTTTAAAATTAATTTGGCAACATCTAGTGAGGATTGGGTTGTGGTTTGTTTTTTTTCCCCTTAACTGTGGGTCTCTAAAGATAACTTGACAGGACCAAAAAGTTCTAATGACTAGAAATGAAATAATAGTATTTAAAATATTGACTTTTCATATACCAAGTAGTTTTATTTCTTCTCAGCTATGCAAGCTTAACTATTTCATTTTGAAATATGCAGAGAAGACACCACATAGTGCTTTAAAGACTGTTACCAGGGTACTACATGCCCATATCTTCCACCGTTTTCACCAAACAAGTTTGCTAAATGAAAGGAGGAGGAGGTAAGCAAAGAGTGAAAAGTAACCAATATTTAGCTTTGGGTGAAAGAAACAGTGGCTTCTGGTTTGAAAACTGGTCTTTTAAAAATGACCCACCTGCCAAGTGTAATCCCTGCAGATTCACATCCTCAGAAAGGGTCTTTAGCAGCCTCCCTTCAGCCCAGGAAAGATTCTGTGCTGAAGCGGGGTTTATACCCACTTCAGACACGTCCTGGAACATCCCCAGGTCTAGACCCTCCTCAGGGATGCCCACATCCCAGAGGAACTAAGCACAGAAATGGACATCTCCACAGAGACTAAACACCTCCATGGTATCTTCAAGTCTTTAGCTGCAGCTTTCTTGTCCTGCTCACCTTAGAGTAGCTACCCTAGCAGAACCCAACACACCTGCATAGGAGCCCAGTGAGGAGGAGAGGGTTTTTGTTGAGCTGGTTATTTACCTTCCTGTCTGTTTATAGAATTGTTCCTCAAACTCCCTCAGAGCTTTGCGAAGCCTTTTCTTATCTGCTCTTGTTTCTCTGAGATGTTCAAGCAGGACAGGCCTGTAAAACGGAGACAAGAACATGAAACCCTCATGTGTTTGGAAGTATTGTAAAAACTGCAGATTTGGGTAATAAGCCTGCTGCTATGGGCCACAGCAGGTTCTGCTCTCAGTGCCCCAAGTTGTTCCACCGCATCCTTCCCAACTATAGATATAACAGGCTGTACCATCACATGTGATAAACAGTTGTGCACGTTCCCTTACACTACCATTCCCCCCTTCTAATAAAGTGAAGACAGAGACTCTGTGGACAACATGGGAGGAAAAGTTTTCAGGATTGAGTCTTGCTTGTGGTCTTGATTCTGTGTGGAATTAATGGAGTTTACAGGGCTCGGCATCTCACAGGAAATGTTGTGCATCTCTGTAACTGATTTAATAAAGTCAACATCCAAGCCCTACCCCTGAAAACAGCTGTCACTAGACATTACTGCGATGCAGTGGAGATGATAGTGGTACCAAGAATCAACATTTTTGGAGGCCATGCCAGCTGGTGTTTGTAGATTAAATTTTTAAGCAGAGAAAAAATTCTGTCATGATATATGCAGCTGGTATTTTTTTTTTCCATAATAACAAACTTCACAGAAATATCTTCACAGCATTTGTGACCAAACTATTATATACATCATTGAGTTCCTTAGAAAATCAAGGTATTTTTATTTACTCAATTTTGGTAGAGCCCAGTCAACTTGATTTATGCCCCTAAGAGCTCCCAATCAAAAAAAAGAAAAACAAAAACCCCAAAAAACAAGCATCCATAAGCTTTCTGTTCTATCATAAGCTACAGCAACATGACAGTTCTGTCATAAGAGCATCTGTTCCTGGCAGGCATATTCCCCAGCAAGTTGCAGGGCTGAGTGATAAAAGCCCATGTGCATCATGAGATTTGTTCTCTCATGCAACCAGAAATTCTTAACTACAAAATCAGAAGGTTTTGAGTTTTATAATGGAAGGTAGGAGGGTGGTGCTAAGTTTTCTGGGCATGCGGACACTAATAACTATTCTTATGCAATGAAGAAATTGATTTTACACACATTCAGTGGCCTCCCACAACTGAGCCTTCATTCAGTTCACCTGTGGCTGTTTGTATGCCTCAGTCTCTGGCCTTTTTACATCACTCACACTGTCAGTCCCAGCACACGAGAGCAGACTACCCTGCTTGGCCAAACTGTGCTTTGTTTTATGACTGCTTTGTAAGAACATAAGTAACTAGGTATCTAAAATTTTTGCAGCAATTATCTGGTAATAACAGGTCTGAATAATAGGTCTACATGTCTTTATTATGCCATTGTGTTGTACCTACCACTCTGTATATGTATTTCTTTTTCCTACCTGCTTACATACCTCCACCTTTCTCTTCATGCACTTGGCACAAAAGTTTGAATAAGTTATTCAAACCGTAGGTAGCTGGCCAAACAACAAATATCCTGTGCCTCTTTTCTCCAGTAAGAAAACACAGAATCACTTGTTTTGTATAGAGTATTCCCATGCAATAAGTATGGATCATGTTTAAGTTACAAAGTCTATATGAAATATTTTAAAATATTTGGGGGAAAAAAAAAAAAAAAAGAACTTACATTGTTGCCTCATGTAAATTGGACATAGACAAGGCTGTTTGCCTGAAAACCTTCTTTTCGTCCAGGGGTGAAACATATGCAGGCTCACTTTCCTCCTGAGAGTAACACAGGTGCTCGTCAACAGGAAAGCAAGATATTGGACCAAATGACAACTCATGGCTGCTTTGAGAATGGTCTTCATCTGAGTCTTCCTCCTCCTGCTTGTAAGATGTAAAGCATTATTAAATTAGTTGTTTACATTACAATACTAACAATGAATAGGATGACAATGTAAAGAATTAGGATCTAACTTCCTGAGTATATTCATTGAAATAGATTACACATATTGAAAGCTTCACCCAGGTCTGCCCAAAATTGTTCATAAGAGCTCTCCCAGGGCCCACTGGGTTACTGTGTACTGTCCACTGAGGCAAAAAACCACAGAAGTTTGCTCTGCTTCTGACTATCTCCAGCCAGCAATTTATTTCTGTTTACTCAAAAGCCTGCTGGAACTTGTACTCCTCTTATATGCTCTACACTGTTTGTATTATGTCCAGAAATTCTGCCTGTAACAAGAGTTGGAGGTAGAAATTCCACAGTTTCATAGCTACAAACGTTAACTACCAAAATAGAGCGATGTTCACTGCCTTCTTCATGTTCCCTCATCCTCAGAAGAAAAGCTGAGCTTTTTGAAACTGAAGCTTAAGCATAAAAACTCCATGGAGCAAAGCTCCTAAGAAGTAAGACAAGGGAACTTCAGTTAAATTTTGAAATAGAATGTCCATGTGTATACAGATCTACATTGGGATTTTTCAAATAAATCTAAAGCTGCACTGTCATCTAAGAAGACAATAGTTCGTAATTTTTAAAATCAACCAGTTACTATTAGATTAGCATTTTTGGTAGGCATGCTAATTAACTTCCAAATAGCCAGATTCCATTACCTCTACTCACTGTGAGACCAGCACTGTTACATTGCATTGATATTAAAGTACTACAAATTATGTGCTACATGATTGATAAAAACAAAATATAGAACATAGATAAAGTGACTCCATAGTGCTTCATGGACACAGGTAGGTTTCTTTCTGTGTGGCATATGTTAGCCTTAATGGAAAACTAACACCAGCCTTTGACCTGTTACCCAGTCATTTGAAGTGATTGCCTCAGAAACCACTGCCACACATTGCAACCTCTGACATGCTTAGACATTGAATTTTGCAGAGCAATTGCTCTATGTGATGCACCCTGCTTTAACCACTGAGCAGAGTCTTCAAATATCATCAGTAGATCTATTGCTGCCAAACTCCCATGCAGGTACAAACCAAACACAACATTTAGCATGTTTTATTGACAATGGATATGAATTCTTTCCAACTTACAATTGTTGTGATCAAAGATGGAGTTACAAGAAGTTTCTTGATAATTCTGTATCTGTCGTAAAGAGGTTTCATGAGATTCTTTTCTTGCTTAGTTACCTAAAGAGAAATCATAACAAAATATACTCCTCCAAAATAAAAAAATACAGAAATTTTGCTCATGTAAAGCTGAGAAAGATGTTAGAATAATATGACCTGACGTGTGTTTTGCTTTCATAGATACTTCATGGGAACTGTAATTTAATTCATAAAATTTCTAAAAAGGAAAATGACAATCTGTTTTCTAATGGAAACACCCAATGTGGATTCCTCACTTCCTTGAGCCACATGGCCTAAGCAGAGGGTAAACTATTCTCTGTCTCTTTCTGAAGATGCTAATAGAGTGATAAGGTTTAAGATATGCTTCTACTGTGCCATTGGTATCTCAATTAACTCTAATAATGGCAGCAGGCTAGCTACAGCAATGTGACAGTCTACCTGGGACAATATACTCAGAAGCCCAGGGGGACAGCTGTGAGTGCAGCTTTACAGCCTCAGCGAGTGAGCTGGCTCCATGCAGAATTGCTGTGTGCATCCCTTGCTGGAACTGCCTTCCACAATAGGGATTAACTGTCTATTCATTTTGTTTGGGTTTTTATGAGCGCTAGGAGCATGTATTTGGAGGAGAATATTATTTTAGAGCAGGTATTAAGAGACTAATCTAGCCACAAATGTTTGTAAAAAATAAACCTTACGGAAACTAGCTGTGCAGTAGACCAAGTTACTGTGTTTAGGAAAAAAGCAAATCCCGCAAGAAGAAGCAAACAAACAGAAAACCAACATGTTCTCCAATGAGTAAATGCCAAAACAGTCATTTCCAAACTAGTCCACTATCAGCCCCTGCTCCTCAACTCACATGCCTGTCAGCACACATGAGGTACAATTTCACTGTCTTTTGACACTGCAGTACTGCATTGAAGCCCAGCTACACACGCTCAGATGAGTGAACAAACAGCAGGTCTGAAGAGACAGACTGGCTGACAGTATGAGCAATAGTTCAGAGCTGTGCAAAAACAGATATCTGATCAGCAGGAGCAAGGGTGACAGCAGACAAATGCAGGTTGGTGACACTGCATATTTCTGGCTGAGTGAATATTTAGGGACTATTCCTAGAGCCATGTTTCACCAGGAAATGTCAGGGCTTGCTGAGGCAGCCAAGTCCACCTCTTTTCCCCAGTCTTCATGTTCCATTTGATTGCAGCACACAAGAGCACCGGGAAATGCCAAACAAGCCAGAATAGATAGTTCTTTGTTTAAAACCTTATGAGTGCCCTCTCCATCTGACTTTGCTGGATAAAGATGGTGTTCACCCACACTACACATCAACAGGACAAACATCATCACCAGTACCCTCTACTGTTTCCAGGCTGCTGTAGTCAGAATACTCAGAACATGCAGTAGCTTAATAATTTTTTCTGGTGGGTTCTCTTTTTGTAGTCCCAAAGAAAGTTTCTACAATAACTGACATTGTCTAGGAATTTTGCTTTTTGCTTCCTTAAAAAAAAACAAACAGCAAAACCAAAACAAAAACTGCAGCAAACCACCAACGGTTTTGCATAGTTGGCTAAATTTCTGATTATTGTCATGAAAATCCAGTACGCTCCATTCAAATTAACTTTTTGATAATGCTATGGTGTGATATTTGTTAAATGACAGGCATGTCATGGGTTCCTCGGTCAAACATCTTAGGTAAGGAATGTTGAGTTGTCATGGTTTAAGCCTAGCTGGTAACTCAGAATCACGCAGCTGCTCACTCGCTCCTCACATTCCCACCCCTGCTCCCAGAGAGATGGGGAGGAGAATTGAAAGAGTGTAACTCTCATGGGTTGAGAAAAGAGCAGTCCAGCAACTAAGGTATAACACAAACCACTGCTGGTACCACCAATGATAATAATGATAAGGGAAATAACAAGGGAAGAGAATACAACCGCTCACCACCTGCTGACTGATACCCAGCCTGACCTGAGCACTGATCTAGCCCTTCCGGGTAACTGCTCCCAGTTTATGTACTGGTCATGATGTGCTATGGTGTGGAATAACCCTTTGGCTAGTCTGGGTCAGGTGTCCTGTCTCTGCATCCTCCCGGTTTCCCATGGCCCTCCTCACTCAAAGAGCATAAGAGACTGAAAAGTCCTTGGTCAGACTAAACATTACTTAGCAACAACTAAAAATATCGGTCTGTTATCAGCTTTGTTCTCAGGCTAAAGTTGAAAACAGCACTGCACCAGCTACTCAGAGAAAAATAACTGCTATAGCTGAACCCAGGACAGGAGACCTCAGCAGTCAATATTCCAGTATTGTGAAAATACATTTTCTGCACTGCCAAACTCTTTGGTAGTAGAGAGGCATCTGTTTTGTGAACTAATGTCACTGGAGTTCCACTACCTGTGCACTCATCAATTTGCCTTCTCCAAGTCATCACCCCCTGGCTTTTACAACCTGTGCAGGTTTCCCTAGGAGGTATCTCTTGGGCCCCTTCAGCTCTGAACTGTGCACAAGGCCTGCGCTGGCCACTGAGTGCGGCCCTCGCTGGCCTCACTCTCCAGCTCTGTTTGGTGCCCAGGATGCATGCAGACTCCTTCCTTCAGGAAAATACAATCATATAGATACAAAGGTTGACATTTGCTTCTCTAAGACACATGATTATTTAAGCGTGCAACCTTGTGTGGAGCATCTCCAGATTGCTTGTTCATTTTCAACAACAAAAAAAGAGATGTAAAAATCTTGCCTAATTTCAGTTTCCTTGCTTAAAATGATTTCCTGTCCCTGATCTTTGTGTGACTTCAAGTCAGAGCTGTTTGGCAGACCTAAGGCTCCCTCATGACAGCTTAGTATCACTGATCACCTCTTTCCTTATGCAGTTAGCATCCTCTTGCTTATCTGGTTATTCACCTCCTTCAACCTTGAGAAGAAACAGCCTCTCTGAACCCCATGCTGCAAAGTACATCCTATTATTTTCTTTTCTTTGAATCTTCAAATTTCTTTTACCTCTATATGGCACTAATAACTCAATTTCTTTTTTGTTCTTCTTCATAGGAAATACAATTTCTTCATACATGTCCTAGGTATTCTCTCTCTCCCTCAGCTCTCATTCCAAGCCCAAAGATGGACAAAAAATATTTTATCCAGGATGCAGAGAGATCAGACACAGATCACAATAATAACAGCTGGCATATTTTTGGCACTTGCTGGTGCCGTTCCCCTTTTCCTCTACCACAAGAATTACAAGTCAGAAACAGAGACAGTCATAAGAGACATCAAACAGGAATTCCTCAGTTGTGTGTAGACAAATTTTCAACTCATCATCTCACCAATGGTGGCAATTCTTTGTTTTGTACCTGCATTCGGCAATGAAGTCTCTTGAAAGGATTTTAATTAATAGTTAAAAGTGCTGCTGGGAAATAAAGGAAAACACGGATGACAGGTCTTGTCATTCATGTCTCAGCCAGTGCCCTATAAGCCTTTCACCACTGCAATGCATTCTAACCTTTCATATGCTACAGCAGAGTTATCGTATGCATGAGCAAAGTCTGTTGTGGATATATAATCATCCACGTTTACCACAAAAACCTGCAAGTTCCAATCATGAAAAGAGATACAGGGTCACTAGGAACTTGCCTATTTAATTTATTTTTTTAAATACAAACCAAATTCATCCGTATCCGGCAATAACATTTATACCTGAAGATTAGTTTTAAATAATTAAAATTATGTTAATTGTGTAAAATTCATTTAAATATATTTAATATATGAGTCAAAAAAATTGTTAGAGAAGTTAGATAATTTTTAGTTTACCTATCTTTCCATGGTATACTTACAGGTTGTCCATGAATAGTCTCAAAATATAGTAGACATTTCTGAAGACTGATTTTTTCCAAAGCCATTTGTTTTTTTGTCATATCCTATTTAAAAAAGTTATTTATAAGATTATGAGTCAGGATTTCATGACAAGGGTACAGGTGCGTATCTGCTCAATAAACTTTTCTCCCCAGATAAACATTAATAATGAATTCTGCTTCTGTCTGAACTGAGGTCATGGGGACTTGGCATTAACTTAGCAAGAGCAGAGTCCAAATTTACATGCCTGAAGTTTCAAGTTAATCAATGTTACCCTCTGAAAGCCTAATGCAAAGCTGAGGAGAGCTGTGGAGATGCTTTACTGATTAAAGTAGGCTTTAGGTTAGGCCTTTCCCAGCAGAAAACACACTTTATTTACTTTGTCTGGCCAAAGTGGACTCCTTGAGGTCTGAACTTGTGCTCTTTCTTCTGAAGAAAGAGGCATGAATAAAAATCTACTAAAAGGCTGGAACCTTATTTTTCTTAACTGTCATTATACAAAGATGTAATACTTGATTACCTTGATTTCTTTCAAAGTCACTTTTCTATGAAAGCAATTTAACAAGCTGAAAGTCAGGAAGCGGCATTAGGCTATTGATAGAACACTTCATCCTGAGCTGGAAAGATTCCAAGGGTACAAACTATGGTCTCAGTCAATAAGGCAAGAAGCTTTGTGTTGTCACTCAATCAGAGCCTGCATCTGAAAACTGTTTCTGGGAATACTGGTTGACAGAAAGTCTAAACAAGCATAGGTTTTTGCTTCAATATTGTAGCCAAACTGCATGCACATGAAGTATATCTCATCGACTGCATTTTGGAAAGGCTGGCTCACAAAAGACCACTGCAGCACATGAGTAGAAGGTTGCACAGATTTAAGTGCAGTACTTCCCTAGAACATTTTACAATGTTTGGGTAACATCTATGAATAATCACTGTAACAGAAAACTAAAGAAATATTTTTCTCATCCATCCTAGGGAGAAATTAATTACTGAGATCTGTATGTTGGTAACTTCTACTTGCCAGGTCAGTTCACAAATCATAGATAGCATTCCCTGTTATATATTAAATATGATTTAGCTGTAACAAATGAGAACAACCACCATTCTAGACAAAATCATAGAAACTTGCAAAACCAGAGAGGACATGACTTTTTAATTTTTCTTCGAGAAAGAGAGAGATTTGCCTTGGCTTGTAAGGGATGAAGAACAGAAAGCTTCAGCTATGCAAACACATGACATTTACAGAGTGGAATGATAGATTCACAATGAAATCTGTAAATGTCCAGCCATCGTGATACTACGTGAATAACCCATAAATGCTGAGCCTACTAGAAAAAGGTGCTACCTCTAAAATGAAATGGAAGAATAATCTGATCAGCCAGCAGGAAATTGCAGCTGAAGTGTACACATCTGTAGAACCACTATGGGGAAGCTGCAGAAAGTGCAGCCCTTTAATAATATTGGGAATGTGGGCAGGCTTTCTTTCTGTTGCCTCACAGTTTTTGCTCTGCTGACGACCTAACACTGCAGTTGATTCCTGTTGATTTCTGTTCAAAAGTAGCAACACGATACACTGGTACCAGAAAAAAAGAATGCTTATTTTTCATCAATGCGGTTCGTCAGTTGGTGATTTATTAGTATATGTACAGGTGAGCATATTAGTATATGTGCAGGGAGCACACAATTTAACTGGTTGGTATTTCTCTCCTCTCTCCCTTTCCCCTTATTCCCAAAAAGATCTGCTCCTGGCACTTGCATGTTTTCATCTCTGTTGGAACAGCAAGAAGCACGTGAAACTAATGTCCTTTTCCACAGTCTCTGCCAGGCATGACAGATCTGTATAAATGAGGGCCAAGTGTTTGGAGGTTTGGAGGAGAGCACATCCACCACAATGAAGTAATGTGAAGAAAAGTGGCATTGAGGGCTGGTGAGGGAACACAGTGCCTTTCTGCAGAAAGTTGATGACTAGGTCATTGTATTGACAACTTGCAGAAGTGTTTTTTATAATTAGCCTCTACTTTTTAAAAACAGATCAAGTGCAGAAGAAGGAATGCTTTTCTGATATCAAAGGAGTGCCTTGCTATTAACTTCAGCAGGAGCAAAACCTTTTTTGCTTGTTGCCAAAATGCAAAACCAGTGCAGAAGCACTAATCACATTTGCCTTGAAGGTCTGTATGAGTTAATCACTCCAAAACTCTGTCATTCACGTGAAGAGAAGAGCTGCTAACTAGAATGCAAGAGTATTATAAAGTAGCTAATTTGTTTATTTATAATTAATACAAGGTTAATTCTTTCAAAACCTATTAAGCCTGGAGCAGCTGCATGGTTAGGAGGAAACGGGATGATCATTAATATTGATTTTACACATGAGAAACAATCTCAAGAGGGTTTAACATTTGGGCCTATTTCATTAGCTCATTTTATTAGCAATCTCAAGACAGTTTATATTCAGCTAAGTTTGAAAGGATAACAATTTCAAAATCAGAGAAAGCAGGCAGAATCACAAACTACGGAATTATCTGAGACATCTTAGGACTGTAGGCTGCATACAACAGCACAAACTTCAATGCTAATTAAATAAAAACACTGCTTGATAGCCAAGGAGAAGATGAACTGAAGCAGATCAATAAAGAGAGGACATACATAAAGGCAGCCAGACTGAGAAAAGCCTTGGGGGACAGACTGCAAATGCTCAAACTAAACATAAGGCAGAAGTTATTTGCTGCATATAAAGAAAAAAGGTACAGACACATGCAAATAAAATAAAGTTCAGGTTGTAGTTTGGTTTTCAAAACTCAGGACAAAGGCACACAAAATATTGTATGAAGTTGTCTTCCTCACTAGATAGTTCCCTGAATGATTATGCCTTTTAAACTCACTGCCATTTTCCCAGGCAGAAAATACAAACTCTGGGGACAGGCAGTATGATAGTGGGGACTGGTCCTCGCTGAGGCCTTTCGCTCTCAGAGGCAGCATTTTGTTTCCAAGCAGGAACAAAGTCTGGGGTCCCAAGGCCTGCTATGTCTGACACATGGTTTTGGGGTAGCAGCTTCTAACCCAAAAGCAGTAAGAAAAATTTTAAGGGAAGGCAACAAGTGACATGACACATCCATAGAACAATGCCCATTTCTTTCAGCTGAAGATCAAGCCAACTCTGACTATAGCCCCACTGTGAAAGGCCATGTTTGCTGGTGAACCACAGTGGAGTACCACAGGGCTGCTGGTCCTCCTTAGTGTGGCTGAGGCACCAATTACATCCTCAGCCATTAAACATTCAGATTGGCTTAAAAATCAGGAGCTGGGGTTTGAATTTGGAGTTTGGGGATTTGGTGGGGTCTTTTTAATAGTATAATTCCAATTACATCAATTTGCCTTTTGGCTTCTGAACAGGATCCTACGTTCATGGTCTTTATTTATTATTTTCCTGAAGCCTTGTACCTAAAAATGATGTGAACTGTTAAGATAAATTGCCAGCTCCCAGCACAAGGAGCTAGTGACACAAACAGCAACAGGTGCCTATCCTTTTTTGAGTTACTGAATCACTCACAGGTTAACCCCAATTTTCTCTACATCTTCTCATTCAATAAATTTAGTCACAGGCTTTTTTGTGAGAGAGGTGTTTTGCCCTTAAAACCACATTTTGCTATTTCATATTCAGATCTTGTGGTTTGTCCTTTTTAAACATACTGGCTGGTTCAGGATTTTACTCTCTGCCTCTCTCAAGGACACACATTCTCTCATTTTTGTTTCAGCAGGGCCTTAGAGGTTTTCTACAGCTGAACTTTAGGGAAGAACTTGGCAGGCTTTTATGGAAACACTATCCTTTACCAAAATAACTAAATCTTAAACCTTGAAAGAAGAAACATGTAGCTCCTATTAGTTTATTAATAATCCAACTAACTCAGATTCTGGTACAGGATTTAAATGTTATATACAAAATAAAATGTTGCACATAAAAAGTATCTACAGTAGCACTACAGTTGCCTATAGCTGAAATGAAGACTTTGATCTACTGTAACCTGCAGATATCCTTGATTCATTTCACCTCCTTAGTGTTATAAACTTCATTCTCCTCCAATTCAACTAAAAGCCAATCTTTTTTAATGTTCTACTTAAAGACTGACTAAAATACATGACTTTGAAATAAATAGTTTTGACTTCATATTATCCATTTTCAAGCCTCTATTCCATAGCAGATACCTAGAGCTTACCAAATGCCTCTGCTAACAGGTAGCTCTCTCAAAGCAAGTTCTTTCCACAAAAATACAAGAAGAAAATAAATAAGATCCTAAAAAATATTTGAAAATATTAACTGTGCAAACATTTAATTTGCATTTACAGAATTTTCTGTGAATATTTCAAGCCAACACTGCCACTGCATAGATTTAGGAGGTCCTCTTTTAGAAAATCAGAAGTGCAATTAATCAAAAAAATGAGTGGGACAGAGACCCACACCCAACTTATAAGAGATTTTTCCTGGCCAGGATTTCCTCATGGCATCTGTTTTGCTGTCATCTCACCTCACTCCTTGCATAATTAAAATAAAAAAACAAATGAAAATAGTATAGTACAGTCTGCACTGTTGGGATTTTAGGACTACATACGGAACAGCTTGGTTTTGTTGTCATCCTTTGTTTTCTTACAAAGGAGTTCTGGTTATGAAACACTTTTTCCATCTCAGGTTTTCCAAACCAGTAGTTTATAAAAAGAAACTATTAAAAAAATCAGTCATGTATGCAGAGCTCAAGATCCTCAGAAGCACAGCATCATTAAACACAGTTCTATGTAGTAACTAGTTGTTTAAGAACAAACAATAGAAGAAAACAAACCAAACCAAACTAACAAAACAAAAACTTATCTGCTGGGTATTTTTTGCTACTGAAATCCACCCAGGATCAATTCATTGCCTTGGTCAGCTGTATATCATCAGGAATAGCAGCATCATTTGACAGCAAAAATAGCCAAAAAAGCATTCTTATGAACAATATGTCTTGCAGAACAGCTTTTGGCAGACTCTATAACATGCCAGGGGTGTAAAGGTACAGCAGGATTTGAAAATATATACTAATTTCAATACAAAAATAAATTGCCACCCAAGCAAGCATGTTTCATGGAGTATTGCCTCTACATTTAGAACAATAATTGAGAACATGGAAGAGCAGAAGCAGTATCAGATCAGAAGGGCAAAGCAGTCTGGATGGTTGTGTTATCCATGTGATCCTAGTGCAGTGCTATCTATTGACTGGACAGAGGCTTTCAGCATTTCTCAGGTGAGAGGGGAACTTCAGGAATGTTTTTACTCACACATTTTCTGTGGACTCAAAATAGGAATGCTTTTGCTGACGTTACCTTCAGTACACTGGAATACACACTTAACTGTACACACAAGCTTAAGTAGGCAGTTTTCAGCAGTGCCTGGCAAACAGATTTATACATGCATCTCTAAGCAAAAAGCACTTAGCACTATATGAAAACTCCTTTTGCACCTCTTTTTCTATGCAACTCTTGACAGAAAAGTAGACTTCAGAAAACTGTGCTAGAGTTCCCATCTTGTTTGAGAGAAAATGCACTGCAGTGCCAGAAGTCATAGGATGCACATGCACGAGCATACCCTGAGACAGCTACACTCTAAATAGTATCTGCCTCAGATGGTAATGTTCTGAAAGAAAAAGCCATAACTTCTTAAATACCTTAATAGTCTCAGGAAGATTGAAGTGCTGTCTTTTCTCCTTTAATCTTCTCAATACACTGTCCACGGTTTCTTCTACTGAGGGAGCTGGTTCCGTGCTTGTGGCCTCCTGTGTCCCAGCCTCTTTAGAGGTCCCAGTGCTTTCACTATGATCATTTCTTTGGGGTGCTCTAGAGGTACAGTTTTGCTCTTCTGACATTCTTAGTTTCAGCTCTGAAAGGCAGATTACTTGGTAAGTAAATTGATTAGAAATATTTGCAAAGAAGTTTCCTCCGACAGTACAAGAAAAAAATATCGTATTTCTTGCACACAGTTATGTATTTTTCTTTTTCCTCCCAGTCCATCTTTGACATAAAAGGTCATGAAGAGATACAGGGTTAAAAAAGTGGGTCTGAGTAGGAGAATCAATTCAGAATTTCTGTGAGAGTGAGATTAGGAAAGGGGCTTAAAAAGACAAACAGCCCTTGAGAATATTTGTGGGAGGTTTGAGGGGGAAGAAGAGGGGATGTGGAAGCAGAGCTCTCTCTTCCCCTCTTCCCCTCACCAAACCCATGAACTCTCAATTGATTTGATGACGAGTAAAAACATGTCCATGCATGCTGTGGGGATTGTTGTCTAAGGATGCAGTCCTTCCTGGACACCTTCCTGGACAAGATGTAGCATCTCTGCAGGCACTTGCCGTGCTCTCACTCCAGCTGTGCTTGCCTGCTCTCCTGTGCTGCTGTGCAAGTGAGGAGAGCAAAAGCCCTCACCTCAGCACAGCTGGGGAGCCCAAACTGTGTCACAGAGCCCACCATGGCAGCTGCCAGGCTTCTGGAGCCATGTACTCCAGGTCTGCAGAACCAATCCAGCTCTTCTCTAGGGCAATTTAAACGATAACCCTCCCTTTCAGAGGCTGCATTGCTATCCCAGACAGGCTGCTGAGCTGGTCCTTACATGGAGAATCAGACACTTTGTTTCAATGACCTCCCTTGGCAGAAGAGTACCTGAGCAACCAAGCAGAAGACATAGAGGTTAGCTTGGCCTAGCTTCCCAGTCAGCAACCTGCCTGGGTGCAGTGAAGTGTGTAAGTATACTAGCCTGATACCAAGCCAAAGACCATGGAGCTCTAGAGACCTGCACAGACCAACAGGGAAATTGAATTGAGGCTGGAAGCACACACAAACTCAGGCTTTGTACCTATCAGTCGTATGCCTGGCTGGAGAGGGACAGTGGGCAAGGCAGGAGACTGATGGCTCCAAATATGTTAGATTTATTGAAATCTGCACAGAGACATTTTTTTTTTTTTTTTTCAGCTGTAACAGTCTGAGGATACAGGTCAGGTTTGTAGGGGAAAACAATAAACTCGTAGAGCTAAGATGGACAAAGCCTTAAAGACTTTAAGGACCTACAAGCACTTGAGTGTTTTTCTTTTTTAGTTGTACTTGTTTCGTGAACATTGTGAATCTTGCTTCACTTAAAAGTGTGATAATAAAATCAAGGGTGTTCACAGGATTGAGGCATTTTGGGTGTGAAGGTGAGGCTGATTTGTGAAAGCTAGGCTCCTTGGCTAGTTGAAAGAATGGTTTAGTTGGAGAGATAATTTTCAGAAAGTTAACTATTTCCTCTCATTTGCCCTTCCTGGATTTGCAGCACAAAGTTCAAGGGGGAAAAAAAATTAAAATCTAGTAATCATGCAGCATAGTATTTAAGAGAGATTTTTCCAGAAGAAATTTACCGAGAGATGTTTCTAATTCTTTATTCACTACAGTCACTTCTATAGCTACATTCTTAACTATATCAAAAACAGAGATGAAAGATAATACTACCATTTAGTTAGTAGTGAGGATCCATTTATAATGGAAAAATAGATAAATTATAAATAGCCTTTAAAAAAAATAATCAATCAGTCTTGTCTACACTCTCCCTGAAGGCAAGCATGTGATAACACCCACAGATGTTAGTGGGGTGGTACGCAGACAGCCAAGGGCAAAATTTGACCCTGAAGACCAAATCTAATATCAGGGAAAGATCTGGTTTTATGATCAAAAAAGTAAAAACTTTAAAGTTTTAAAATTTTAAAGTTGTATAACCTCAGTCCTAAAGGAACATTTTGCACTACATTTGAACTATTACAAGGACACTTTCAACTTTGTAGTGTTGTATTTCAGACACACATAAAAATATCCATAGTTGCCTTTCGCATGAATGTTTATAGTGATGAGGGAGAGGTGACATCTTTTTTCCTCTTCCCCTTTTTAGCCTTGTTATGAGGATTGAACTGGCTTACATTTATCCCTGATTTCAGGAATCAAGGCAAATCATACCCTCTAATAAACTTTGTTTTGTACATTGAGAGAATTATCGTCGTGCATTGTGAAAAGTAAGCATGACACAGAGGTTAGAAAATTAACTCTAAAATATTCCAGGTACATTGATGCTTCCAAAAGCTTTAGCAATAAAGTGAAGTGACATGCTTTATGTACCTTTGAGCTGCTTACGACCTTTGGCCAAATCATTCATCCATTTCAGAACTTCAGGATTGGAAGTCTTGTCACCATGAGAAGGCTGAAAATAAAGAAAAAGGGAAGAATACAACAAAGGAATTGGTGGTTATATAAGCAAACAGATAAAAACTTAATCCACACACAGTGTGCTGAAAAATGTCCATAGTTCCAACCGCACTATATCATAGTGTCACGCACAGCATTTGGCTTGATCATGATACAAATTTATCATGACTTGTCTCTCCCTGTTGTGACACAGTGCTACATGGGTCTGAGTATTTTGGCTCTGATCCTAAAAAAAACCCCAAACTTTTAAGTCCCTAACTAATTGGATAAGTAATTTGAGTGACTTCAAAGGACTAATCAAATACATAATGTTGGTCAAGTTCCTAAGTAACTTCCAGCATGGTAACACAAGTATTCTTTCCCTTACAGGGATAAGCTCTTACTGCTTTAAGACAGGGATTCTCTTGTGAAACAGCATTTAAAAAATTTCAGCTGAACTCCTGTATTAATCAAATGAAAAGTCCCATGCAACAGAGGATGAACCATAGAATCTTTCATATCAGTCCTTTCTTTGCATTTAGAAATTGCCTCCAAATTAAAAACAATTTACACTGGATCTTCAACACTCAGACATTTAAAATGGCAAAACAGTTTTGGAAAATTAAACCTCTACAATAATTTTTTCTGGTCACAGTGCCAGAAATTACTGTTTAGGTATGAAATCTTACTCCTAAACATATATAATGACCATAAGGCAGTATAATTCACAAATGTATGATTAAGTTTGCAGATATTGATGAAATTACAAGGTAATATATAATTTGCTTAATTTTCATTTTAATGTAGTCATAAGGTATCACAAACTTCCCTGTTTCATACTGTACATAACATGACAGATGTTTTGATACGTTTATACTGCACAATTCACCTTACACAAATTAACTTGATATGAGCAATGATCTTGCGTACACTGCATAAAGGATACCATTGACCTCAAACAACCACATCCCCCCACCAGCAGCACATCCTAATTTTTATTTCTCTCATTTCTGCTAGTAGCTTCTATTGAGCTGTACGCTTTCAGTGCTTCCAAGAGTCTGCCCAAATGAAGGAATTTTCATTGAGAAGCAACAGTTTACAAGCAAATGACTTCTACAAAGTAAATAAGTAGCTTTCCATCTTTTGGATCCTTTTGGTTCAAAAGCAGTCAGCTATGCTTCACTGACTCACACCTCTCACACATCGAGAAGACGGGGTTTTTGCAACAAAGGTAATTCAAAGAAAACGTAAATTAGAGTCTCAGAACTACTGCATACCCTGAAAGATAATAAAAACATATTCCCTCATTGATGATTATCCTATTTCATTTTACCAAAAATACCTTTTCTGTTATTTTTTCTGTGTAAGTTTTAATACACAGAGATCCTTGCCTGCCTCTTGCAGTGTTTCCCTTTATCTTTTCAGTTATTATCTTACCAGGTATTTTCTTTCTTGCTCAAACTTTTCTTCATACTTCCTAATTTTTCTCTTGAGACTCTGAAGATGCTTGGTAAGTTGTGCTACTGTGTGTGGTTCTTTGCAGTCTTCACAGTTACATCTAGAAGAACTTCTTGGCCTGCAAAAGTCGAAAACACAATAGCTGGATCAAAGAAGTGGCTATAATGGACCATGCCTTGTTTCAGGCACATTTAGTGCTTTCCTAGCACTTCAGAATACATATTTAAGTTCTTTCACCTAAAGGCAGTTTAGTTTTACAAAGTAAGACTACAATAATTTCTTTTGCTTGAAGATACCCCTAGAATATACTACTGGGTTCACCATATTTATTTTACTCTTTTTTTTTTTTTTTTTAATTAATTGTAGGATTTTTGAGTATTTTTCTAAAGTTTAATCTAGTAGGTCACAACCTGGTCCATTATTTACATTTAATACCCTCATCTTATTTCACAAATCTTCCAAATGTAATGGGAGACTGTAACACCATGATTTGTCAAAGTAAGCTTAGGGAGATTTTTATTACTGGAAATAAACATTTTCATTTTTGAAGGCCCTTGAATTTGTGATTTTTTACATTTTCAAATAATAGGTCTGATTAGTGTTCATATGCAACTGAAAGCTATATACATAAGATTTTAAGGAAGTTTGGTTTCTGTCTGAAATGCACAGTTTGGGATTACATATATAGGCTGTTCATATGCTCTATGACATTCATATCCAGTGAATGATGGGAGCTATAATCTTATTACAGCTGAAATTTTTAGTATTATACCTTGATAGCCCTCTCTTACGTTCACTCATCAGAATAATCACTAACTTTTAAAACTGTTTCTTGCTAACTATAATTAACAAAGATGACAAACAATAGCCTGCTGTGTTATCAGTGAAAAAATGCTAAATCTTGTTTCTTGTATTGCAAATAAACCATGTCAAATTATGCTACACTATGAAAAAATGGTAGCTGAAGTATGTATGAAAAAAATAGCTGAAAAAAACTGAAGAGTCAAAGACAGCCTTACAATATCTGAAGGGGGACTACAGGTATGTCAGAGAGGGACTCTCATCAGAAACTGTAGCAATAAGACAAGGGGTAATGGGTTTAAATTTTAACAGGGGAAGTTCAGGTTAGATATAAGGAATAAGTTCTTTACTGTGAGGGTGGTGAGGCACTGGGACAGGTTGCCCAAAGAAGTGGTAAATGCTCCATTACTGGCAGTGTTCAAGGCCAGGCTGGACAGAACCTTGGGTTACATGGTCTAGTGTGAGGTGTCCCTACCCATGGCAGGGGGGTTTGAACTAGATGATCTTATGTCCTTTCCACATCAAACCATTCTACAATTCTATGATTATATGATTCTATGACTGTAGATTGTATAAAAATTATTTAACATATTGTCCTGGGTTTAGCAGCAGCAGTCATTTTTTCTCCTTCTTGGTAGCTGGTGCAGTGCTGTGTTTTGACTTTCGGGCTGGGAACAAAGTTGATAAAAATGATGTTTTGGTTTGGTCAAGGACTTTGTGAGCCTCATGCTCTGCCAGAGAGGAGGGGAATCCGGGAGGAAGCAGAGACAGGACACCTGACCCAAACTGACCAAAGAGGTATTCCATATCACAGCACGTCCTGCCCAGGATATAACTGGGAGTGAGCTGGAAGGGCAGGGTGGACGGCAGGGTTGAAGGAGGTATCGGTCGGTGCTTGGTTGGGCTGGGTGGGGGGGGGCGAGTTATCGGTCACCTGGTGATGAGGTGTTGTTTTCTCTTCCCTTATTATTTCCTTTATCATTACTATTATTGGTGGTAGCAGTAGTGATTTGTGTTATACCTTAGTTACTAAACTGTTCTTATCTCAACCCGTGGGAGTTGCATTTTTTTTTCTGATTCTCCTCTCCGTCCCTCCAGGAGTAGGGGGAGGGCAAGAAGAGGGGGGGAGTGGGTGAACAAGCTGTCTGGCTGGGGTTAAACCACAACACATATATAAGAATTAAAATATAATTTCTTACATCATGAAAGGTTGAGCACTTGGTGGAGAAGGGGCAGACTCTGTGTCTAGATTAAATCTCTGGCTTTGGCTAAAGATAGAGCAGCGTGGTGACAAAAGAGGCTTGTCGCCATCCGTAATGTGATACAGCAGTCGACTGGTCCCTAGGGAGTGATGTTCTTGTGGGCTGCTGTCCATGTCATTCTGCCAGTCTCTGTGAGCTGGAACAGGCTCTATAAAGAAAGCATAAGCCAATACGGACTGAGGGTCACACACAGGATATTGAGCTACCTAGATAAATACATATCTATACTTACAGAAGTATTCAAAGCATAAGTATTCAAAGTAAACAGCAAATAGCTCAGCAAAGCATCACATGCAGGATGAATGTACTACAAAGGATAAGAAAATAGAAATGATGGTTACTACCTTAGCATAAAGAAATTTTGAGTTCCAGGAGAGAAGGTAGATAGGTGTGTTTGTTAGCTATAATGTAAAGTATAATACAGAGATGGAAAGCTTTCCAGAATAGCAGCGTTAATTACATTTTCGTATATATGTTTGCTTTTGAAAGCCACATTTCTAAAGAAGACAACGAATGTACAAAACAAGTTTATTTTATGATGGAACATTTAGTCTCTTGGTCAAGAGAAAGGCAGGTCAAAAATACAACATGTCCTGATGCTAAGAGCCTCCACAGTTGATTGCTGTATCCTGCAGGATTTCAGTAATGTTTGAAGTTGCATACCCATGGGTCTAAAGAACACAAGATGTGAAAATAAAATAAAAAAAACGGTAACGTTCAGGGTAGTTATTCAAGGTAGTGTGTAGTCACTGCTACTTGGAAGTCATGCTTACAGTACTATGTTAATATTGTCTTGGGCTATACAGGGAAGCCTCTCCTTGGGTGCCTCAAAAGATAAAAGATGATTTACAGAGATGGTGAAGCTAGAAGTCAGACAGACTCATTCTGGGCTGGAAAAGTAGGAATCGGTGAACTTCATTGCACTGTTTATGGACAACATGGAAAATGATGGGCACATTACAGAGCATACCTCCAGGGAATACCAAGAGTTTATCTTCCCAAATGTTCCCCACCCTCTGTGGGTGAAATGGGTGAGGATGATCTAGCCTAATCAATTGTTTGCTATCAGATGATTGTGCTTTAAAGCAGATTATACTTTCAGGAAGAAAATCCATGATCTCATAAAAGCTCTCCCTCAACAAAGAGTTAATATATGTTAAAACAAAGAATGAGCTGGGTCTCAGGTTCCCCTATATCAGTTTCCATAGTCCATAATATTTTTACACCAGCCACATCATTTTTTTTTTCCTCTAAAACCATGTATTTTCAGGCAGCATGCATTTCTAATCAGTATTATACCTGCAGTCTAGCATGCATTCTAATACATTTCACAGAAACTGTTTTTTCAATGGAAGTCTAAAACTGCACAGAAAAACTGTACATGGACTTAATCACAAAAGAGCAGGCAGGTTTAGAAAAGTTCTTTCATCTTCACTTTCTTTTCATTTTCTCCTTTGTACATGGGACAGGACATTCCCATACTGAGTTGGCATTTCTTTCTGGATTTTAATTGAACCTTTGCAGTAGCTTTTATTTGACCTCTGCCCAAGAGATATGGAAGCTACAAATCCCTGTTGCTGCCTTGGGACAGTGGGAACAAAACACCTCTGAATGGCACCCTTGATAGAACCATTGCCTTCATAGAACACAACTATTGAATTAAAAAATAATAGTTGCAGTGGTCTAAAATACCACTTTATTAGGCAGTATCCAACTCTTCTTGCTTTACAGACAACAAAAAATATAACTTTATACTACATAATCACAATTTAGTGTGTTATGCAAAGGCTACACAACTTTTGTATCTCTAAGTTCATCTTACTCTAACAGCACCACCAATTATAAATATGTTAAGCATTTCCACAATGAGACAATGTATTTGGTTATTAATTCTTTCCTCTAAGTACTTCATACTCTGTGAGTCAAATTCAATTCTCCAAGACACCAGAGCAACACCCTAAACTTCAAAATTGTGTATGAGATTCAAATCCACACATAGAGAGATCCAGAAAGGCATGTGGGAGAAGCAAGGGTAGAGATTGTACCAGTCATTGGAAATTATGTACACAGACAACATACATTGATAAATGTTGTTCTACAAACAAAAGTATTGTTTCTTTATGCTAAGTAATCTTTCCTTACCCCATAAGATGTAAAGAAATTAATAGTTTTGTTTGAGTTTTGATTTGTTGGGTTTTGGTTTGTTTGGGTTTTTCTTTTACTTCTGAAAAACAATACTGCCAATGAGAAGAAATTGGATTCCTTCCTTTTATTTGACCATCTTTGAACTTCAAGAAACATAACCACAGCGAAGTAGAGTGACTAAGAATAGTTTCACTATTTCTCAAACACTGTTACTAAAAGTAATAAATTCTTTTATAATCATGTTAAGTAGCAGTCTCCTTATTATGAAAGGAAAATAATGTTATAAAAAAATAAAAATGAATCCAGTCTGTGTGTGGTCAGTGTAGTAAAAGTTTCCAGCATTTGTATTCTCATTTTCTGTGGACCTAGAAGTACTTGTCTTGCAGGAGACAGTCTGTACTGCTGATAACCTACACAGTTACAGGTATTAGCTGCTTTTCACATTTACAACCAGGCAATTTTACTAGCCCAAACCAAGACTCAAAATGGAAGAAAAGCACACATTCAAGACTAAACACTCCTAGAAGATAAATGCAAAGGACAAGTAGTGGCTGGAGCAGCTTAGGTATAAAAGCAAACAAACTTAGCTGCAGAGAGTTAAAGGAGGTTTTTTTATTCAGTTGTCAAAGAAAGGGAGACAACCTGTGTATCAGGTGAATTTGAGAATTTTCCCAAGGCCAGGGATCTTCAATTTCCTTGGCACCGGGGCTTCCTGACAGCATTGCTCCACTAAAGCTTGCAAATAGGTGCAATTTTGGTATGGCTCCAAGAAAGGTTTTAGTTCCAATGCTGCTACAGATGCATTAAATCATTATCTAACGTCCAGAAGTGGTCAGCAAGTCATTCAGACTGATTCATTTACACAGCCTGATTACTATAATAGAGGAACATCTCTGGATGATAAGTTGTAACCAGACCCATTTTTAATTAAAACTTTGTGCCATCATCCCTATTCCAGTTCTGCTCTAAGCATTATCCTGGGAGTAGTCCATGAATGGACCAAACATCTGCCTGTTTTCAAGTGTCTGATTTTAGCCTCTATCTTTGCCAAAACTGTGAACTAAAGCCATCTTTAGCTAAGCCAGTAAATTACCCTTTGGCCTGTATTTACTCCATCTCATCTACTCAGCCCACTTTAGGACTGGCAAGAGCTTACTACACGAGTTAAAGCCAAGATCTGGTATCTTATAATATGCAGTATACTTCATAATGTGGACTTGGATCATATGACAAGTCATTTGGTACAATTCTGTATTTCTTTTTCTGAAGTAAACCAATAATACACAGAAATCTGTTGTATCTAAAAAGATTATGCAGATGTAATGTGTGCATTGTTATGTCTGTGAATGCCAGTATCAGGATTTATAATTTAAAAGACATTTAGAACACCTTGTAGTCAAGTTCATCTGCTCACTGCTCGAGTCACATAATCAATTTATACTCATATTAAAAAGCTATAGAAATTACTCATGTTCTGCTTTTTTTTTCCCTTAAAAAAAAAAAAACTTGCAGTTCTTCATACCCTCTTGTGATTCTTCATGGTCTCACTTCTGGTCTAATTCAAGTATTTACATACACAAGTAAACTGGAATTTTCTGACATTGCTCAGAGATAAGAACTCCTGTTCACTTCTTAAAATCTGCATTCTGAAATACCTAAAATAATGTATTTTTTGTAATTTTTCTTGACTGGAATGTGAAACAAAATAAATAGACTACAGAATCATGTTTATTTTTAAAATAACATATTTGTACATTCTTAATATTAAAATTTTCATTGTCTAATTCACTGAGCAAAGGCTAATAACTAGAGATGTAGCATATATGGCACATCCTCTAACTGTGTTCTTTGCCAGGGACAACTCTCTGGACCTCTATCCAAGTTCAAGCTGAAATAGCCAACAGTCCCATGTGACAACTGTACTTAATGTATCAGAAGATTTTGGTAGTGATTTAAGAGACAGAATTAGAACTAGCTCTCTCAATGCAAAATAGCAAGTTATTATACAAAAAATACAAACCACAAAGCAGACACTAGCAGGAATGAAAGTACATTGAAATGCTTTAAATAGTTAAGTTTTAACTAAAGCACAAGTTTGAACTGCTAGAGTGACAAAGTATGCTCTGAACTGTGTGAGAGAAATGCTACATCATCCAGTATTTGCCTGTGTACCTGTAAACAGGCAAATAGGAGCTAGAGAGGGTAGCAGAAGTCACTACCAGTATGGATTAAAAGAAAATCCAGTCAGAACAGCATAAATAAGAAAAGGAAACAGTTATGAACTATCCTAACAATGAATTAAGAAATTACCAGAACAAAATAGTTCAGTAAACTACTGAAAGAGGAGGAAAACCCCACCCTGACATAAAGCAAAAGAGTCAGTGCAGATATTCTATGGGCTACAAAATGTCTCTGCCTGTGCAGCATAGACATGAGATCTGTCTCTGCCTCAGATCCATGCTGAGGGACTAGCACCAGTGCAAGTTTTATAAGATATCAAGGTTTGGGGTTTTTTTACCTAGCCCCCAGGATATTTAGTACTTTTTACATTTACAATTTTCCTTAATTGTGCAACGCAAGCCTCGTACTCTAAAATTTCTTAAGTATATCACTATCATTTGTGCTTTCTTTTTTTCGTAAATAACATTTCTTGCTGAAAATTCTGAGCAAACAGCTTCTAAATGTGTTCTTATACATCCTGTCTTTATTCTGACATATAACATCAGTTGCAAAGGGGTTACTGACCTATCTGCTTTAATTTGAACCATACATGGTGAATGACTTAAGTATTTGTGTATTCATGTCATTTGTCTGTGAGATGTGTTAGTCATATTGCCTTTGACCTATTTTTCACAAACAGCGATTCCTCTTCTACTGAGCATCACGACTCTGTCAGCCCTGTGACTACAAACTATGAATTGACAAAAATAGCACTGAGCCTTAGGGCTATTCATTTCCATATTGAGGAAAGAAAGAGTGATAACACACCACAGATTGCCCAGACAGGTAATAATACAGGTTCGTGACTGACTAAAATCCATATGCTATAAAACTCATCTTCGCTATTTCTCTGCTGATGCATTGAATTAAAATCAACAATAGGAGAAATGAAGTGATATTACTCTGACAAAAAGAATGACAATAATAGAATTACATGATATGGCAGGTGATCTCACACAATACAGAAATAGGAGCAGCATAGAATTACTTGAACAAAAAAAAAAAAAAGAAAATAAAAGAATGAGGATTCTTAAAACCTGTCTGAAAAGCAAGACTCCCTCTCAGAAAATCAGAATGTTATACCTCTTTTAAGAGGTATTGCCCCTTTTTACATTACACAGCATTTGCCTCATGAAACCGTGCTTAGCATTAGCTCTGCACTGCTTCCCAGAGAACTGCAAATCTGATATTAAACTGCAAGTCACAAGTCTTTTTTATAATTGCAAATGAGAACACACCACGACATGATCGCTTACCTCCACAGCTGGCTCCATCAGCTTGCACACTGGTTTGGGCTGATGAAGGGGCTGGATCCTTGGATGCCGGCAGCTGAGATGTTTCTTCCTGGGTTGGCAGAAATGCAGAGCACAGATCGGTTTCAAGGGCTTGTAGCTTCAACAAAGAATTCTGCAGACAAAAGCAGAACATTGGGCTAGATTGAGAACAACAGAACACAGCGATAGCTCTTCAACTCACTGAGCCCATTAGCAGCGCCTGCAAAGGGGTGTTTCACTAACAGCTCTGAGAGGACGTGCAAAGGAACAAACGTGCACTATTCTGCGAGTTTCTTCTGGTTATTTAAGTCCCAATTCACATGGATTATTCATGACACGTGGGAAAGATGACTTCGTCAGCAAAAGATGACTTATTCTAGGAAGCCAAACTGAGATGGTGTCCCTTTTCCTGGTCTCAAAGCAATACATTAAGCAAGTATTTTATTCATTGGACTGACATCACGATCTGATGACATTCTGTCCCTCCCCACTTACCATTCATAAAAAAACAAGTCTCCCTCTTCCAGCCACTGAGTGCCTTACACAGCAGTGAACAAAGAGTTACTGAGAACACAATCCCTCATGGGATTCTTGGAAGAAATATTTTTTAATTGCTTTTTTTAGAGATACTTCTTTATGTAGATGTAGCTTTTATGTAGGCAGCAGCTGCTGCTACAGGGCAACCAGATCATTTCCTATCCATTGGAAAGGTAAAATTAACAGATCATTGTCACTTGCTGAAGACAAATCAATGAAGACAATGCTCGTTATCTATAACATCACAATATAACATCAGCTACTGTGTCATGCTTGGTCCATTTCTCATTTTAATCTTTAATGCTGCACGCAATATTCAGCTGTACAATCTGACACAAGCATCTTGCTGTGATGTAAATCCTGTGAAAGCACTTATCACCATCTGACTGGGCAAAATGAGTCTCTACCAATACATCATGCACTCAGTTTCCCTCTTTCAAGGGAAACACATCTTGTCACATAAACAAAATCACACAAGGCTGTATTAATAATCACACAGCTGGCACAAACAGAATATACATGAAATGTTAAGTCACTGAAATGGTACGTATTTGTAGAGCATTTTCTTGGGGGGAGGGGGAAGAGGGGGAGAAAGGGGAAACCAAAAAAACCAAAACCCACCAAACGACAACCAACAACCAACCAAACAAACAAAAAAATCATCACAAAAAAATTATCAACCCACCCCAAAAAACACCACCCAAAAAACCCCACGAGTTGCAATAGAAAAAAAAAATCCTCAAAAGCTTCTTTCCCCACTCTGTCAAAGACACAAAATCAATTTACTGATTAATGAAATAACAAATTTACTCGAAACATTTCCTTTGTGTAACAGTTTCTCACCTATGTAGTGAGTATTTTAATGTCTTTGCATTGTTTTAATTGTAACACAGATCTGTTATAAACCTAGAGATGCCAGTGGTTTTAGGTTAAAAAATAAAAAAGGAACCTGATTTGGCTGAAAACAGCAGGGAAGACTTTCAGCCTTGATCCTTTCATTCCTTTTATAGAATTCAGGTGGTGAAAAAGGAGCAGAAAGTAGTGCTTTCTAGGAAATACCTCAAAATAGGGAAGTTTCAAAAAATCACAAGATCGCCATAGCTAGATCCTGTGACCCTCTATGTGCTGTCAGGAGTGCTTCAAAATCTGTATCCTGTTCCACAAAACAGATCAGGTTGCACACACCTGGACCTTGGCCTCAGCTTAGGCCAAAAAGGAAATCCAGAAAAACTTCTTCTGGTCCCAGAGAAAACAGGAGTTCTGACCATTCCTATCAGAAGCAGTTTAATTAGAGACATGTGAGCAAAGAAATGCCTTGTGTTATACATTTTAGGACTAAGTTCCTCTCATCTGTTGTCAAGATATATTTTGACATATCCTCCTATAATACCAGAAAGGAGTGACTGCAAGATCAAGCACTACTGTTCTTTAAGATTATGGCATGATCTAGAGCTGGTTTCTATAATATAAGGCAGAAGATACCCTTACTATTGACAGGTACAAGTTGCATTAACAACCTAGAATCCTCTGTTCTTGTTGCCATTTGTAAGGATAATTTATCCATCTTGGCCAGCATTACACAGTATCACTGTATGCTAGAGATTGGAAGGGACCTCAAAAGATCATCTAGTCCAATCCGCCTGCTGGAGCAGGAACACCTAGATAAGGTTACACAGGAACGTGTCCAGGTGGGTTTTGAATGTCTCCAGAGAAGGAGACTCCACAACCTCCCTGGGCAGCCTGTTCCAGTGTTCTGTCACCCTCACTGAGAAGAAGTTTCTTCTCAAGTTTAAGGGGAACCTCTTGTGTTCCACCTTGTACCCATTACCCCTTGTCCTTTCATTGTTTGCCACTGAGAAGAGCCTGGCTCCATCCTCGTGACACTCCCCCTTTATATATTTATGTACACTAATAAGGTCACCCCTCAATCTCCTCCAAACTATAGAGACCCAGCTCCCTCAGTCTTTCCTCATAAGGGAGATGCTCCACTCCCTTAATCATCTTAGTTGCCCTGCGCTGGACTCTCTCCAGCAGGTCCCTGTCCTTCTTGAACTGAGGGGCCCAGAACTGGACACAATATTCCAGATGAGGTCTCACCAGGGCAGAGTAGAGGGGAAGGAGGACCTCTCTCGACCTACTAACCACCCCCCTTCTAATACACCCCAGGATGCCATTGGCCTTCTTGGCCACAAGAGCACAGTGTTGGCTCATGATCATCCTGTCATCCACTAGGACCCCCAGGTCCCTCTCCCCTACACTGCTCTCTAACAAGTCGTTCCCCAATCTATACTGGAACCTGGAGTTGTTCCTGCCCAGATGCAGGACTCTACACTTTCCCTTGTTATATTTCATCAAGTTATTCCCCGCCCAACTCTCCAGCCTGTCCAGGTCTCACTGGATGGCAGCACAGCCTTCTGGTGTGTCAGCCACTCCTCCCAGCTTAGTGTCATCAGCAAACTTGCTGATAGTACACTCAATTCCCTCATCTAAATCATTGATGAATATATTAAATAATACTGGTCCCAGTACTGACCCTTGAGGCACTCCACTAGATACAGGCCTCCAATTAGACTCCGCCCCATAGACTACAACTCTCTGGCTTCTCTCCTTCAGCCAGTTCACAGTCCACCTCACTACCCGATCATCCAGACCACACTTCCTCAATTTAGCTGTGAGGATGCTGTGGGAGACTGTGTCAAACGCTTTGCTGAAGTCAAGGTAGACCACATCCACCGCTCTGCCATCATCCATCACCGTGTTATTTCCTCATAAAAGGCTATGAGATTGGTCAAGCATGACTTCCCCTTGGTGAAGCCATGTTGACTGCCTCTCATAACCCTCTTATCCTTGATATGCCTTAAGATGCCACCAAGGATAAGGTGTTCCATCACTTTCCCAGGAATGGAAGTGAGGCTGACTGGTCTATAGCTACCCGGGTCCTCCTTCTTGCCCTTTTTGAAGACGGGAGTGATATCTGCTTTCCTCCAGTCCTCAGGCACCTCTCCCGTTTCCCAAGACTTGGTAAAGATGATGGAGAGCGGTCTAGCAATGACCTCCGCCAGTTTCCTCAGCACCCGCGGGTGCATCCCATCTGGACCCATGGATTTATGGATGTCCAGATTGCTCAACTGGTCTTTAACCCATTCCTCATCGACTAAGGCAGACCGCTCCGTTGACCTATCTTCATCTGAGGTCTCAGCGGTACAGGGCTCTTCAGGACTGCCTCCGGCAGAGTAGACAGAGACAAAGAAGTCATTCAGTAACTCTGCCATCTCTGTATCTTCTGTCACCAGGGCACCCATCCCGTTCATCAGCGGGCCTACATTGCCTCTGGTGTTAGTTTTATCTGCCATGTATTTGAAAAAGCTCTTTCTGCTGTCCTTGACCCCTCTCGCCAGCTTTAATTCCAAGGAGGCCTTAGTCATCCTAGCTGCCTTCCTACATCCTCTAGCAGCAGCCTTATATTCCTCCCAAGTGACCAGCCCCTCCTTCCATGACCTGTAAACTCTCCTCTTCCACTTTAGCATACCCAGCAATTCGCTATTTAGCCACGCAGGTCTCCTGGCCCTCTTCCTTGACTTCCTATGTGTTGGGATGCTCTGATCTTGAGCTTGGAAAAAGCAGTCCTTGAATGCCAACCAACTATCTTGGGCTCCTTTACCTTCAAGCAGCCTAGCCCATGGGATTTCCCCTAGGAATTGGTTGAAAAGGCCAAAGTTTGCCCTGCTAAAGTCCAGGGTTGCAATTCTACTTGCTATTCTACTGGTCCTACCACACAAGATCCTGAATTCCACCATCTCGTGGTCGCTGCAACCAAGGCAGCCCTCAACTTTCACTGCTTCAATCAGACCCTCCTTGTTAGTGAGGATGAGATCCAGCAGCGCACCTCTCCTGGTTGGCTCATCCTCATTGAGCATTGCCTCAAGTTCACACCTCGGTTTCTCCAGGACCCCTTGAATGATTGGTATCTTTTCCTTGTCACTTACTGACAGTTTGGTCCAGTATTTTACATATATTACTTCAAATTGATCTGTCTCCTTTGACCTGTCTAGTAGATTGTGCCAGGTATGCAAATGTCCCCAACATGGTCTGTGTAAGTGAAGACCAATATAATGAATTCACTCAGCTTCTCTGTTTACAGCCATATCACCTAGTGATATGAAATTAGTATCCATTTTATGTGTCATCCAACAGTCACAGCGATCCCTACCTAGATTCCTGTTTTTGATGTATTTAGTAGAGTTCTTATGATCAATTTGAGCATCTTTTATTACCTATTTTCAATCCTCTTTGTCCTTTCAGTCTTCTTTAATCATCTACAGGGCTTTCTTCAATTAGAGACAGAATGATGGAAACTACCTCACCTTCAAAAGCTTTCAAGTAGCAGTGAATTTTCCTTGTCAAGGGGAGGATGCTGACTTGAATTATACCCATAACACTGTTTTGGGGAGGGATTCCATAATATGACAGGCCTCATTTTCCACTTCCTGTTATCCCAGCTAGGCACCAACAAAGTGGCTGTGTAATTATCACAAGTGATGGGCTGTGTTTTATAGTCAGTAATATCATCTAGCAAAAGATGATCATACCAGTTACACACCAGTGAAGACTGATCCCAGACCAGACCTTTTCCAGAAGAACTGCTGATGGCAATAAGAACATAGGCAAACATACCAGAACATACCAATAAGGAGAACATAGGCTAATAACTGACAAAAATACCTAATCATCACAGGCTGTTACTTCAAACATTTGAAAAAAAAAATTCCATATCAAGAAAATGCAGCACTTTGCATCACTATTTCTTATGATACATTAATATTTATGGAAAATTCAGCATAAAAGCATTCACACAGACTACTACATTGTTAAGCATTGTATTTTGGCAATGCTTAAGCTGTAATTCACCAGCTGGTTTATATTCAATTGCTCCAAATGATATTTTTCGTCCAGCTTTGGAAGGTGGGTAGATGGTAAATTTAGAGTCACTACCAAATACTAAAAAAAAAAAAAAAAAAAAGAATTAAAAAAAAATCATAATAATAATAACAACAACAGTAGAAAAACCTTACAGAATTTCATGAATGTGTCCTTGACATGGATTTGATGTATCGAGAAAAAGGGTAAGTAGCTGTGATCACTTTGATGTTACCAGGGAGATGATGAATCTGGAGTATGCCATCAACCTCATCTTACTCCTAAAACACAGCTGAGTACTAGGTACTGCCACAGCACACTCTAAATGAAAAGCCATCACACATTTATGGGAACACATGTAAGGAGACATAGCTTTAGCAAAGGCCAAACACAAAGCTGCTCAGTTCACCAACGCATCAGCAACAGCAGCATCCTACTAAATGCTAGGGATGACGCTGCTGCCTGCCCTGCCGCATGGCCTGTCCTGCCCCCTTCAGGGCTGCTTGCAGTACTAACAATGCCAGAGCAGCTGGGTTGGATCCTTCCAGCCTCAAACTTCTTGCTCTCTGGCAGCAGTGTACCTGCAGCCCAACCATAGAACGAAGGTGCTCTGCAAGAGGACATGGCCAGATATATCAGCAGCTGGCAGCAGGTTCTCTATCTTTGGGCTCAAGAGGGGCTGGCTAACATGCTACCAACTGTTGGCAAAAGGAAGGCAAGAAGAAAGATGTCTTCATCTTCTAAAACTTTTCAGGTTAATTTTAAATATTGCTCACCACTTCCAACTTCCCCCTAGTTCTCCAATGCTTTCCAGTACCTGTACAGCTCTGATGTGACTGTAGGCATCCTGCCACAATGGTGGGGATGTGTACTCTTCTGTCCTGCCCACACTCAGCAATACATCTGATCTGGAGATGACCGAGCCTGTGCACATGTTACTTAAAACTCTGCCATGGTCCAGACATGTCCCGGGGACCAACTGGGCCATCTCTGCTCTTGGTCATTTAAAAGAAGTTGCAAAACAAGTCAGAAGCAAACACAAACAGCTAAAATACATAGAGAGGGAAATGTTAGGTCATGTTGAGTGCCACCACAAATTTTAGTAAGCTCTTCTATGGAAAACCAGTATCACTGAAGTAATTTAATATATGGCATATTATATCAGCTAATTATCTAAGTTCAAATATTTCAGAACTGATATTCATTCCACTTTTACTCTGATGACTAACACTAGTGTTTCTGATGCAGTAATTCCTGATCCGTGCTAATGCAAATGAAAGGACATTATAATATTTTAGATGGGTCCTTAATTTTCTTTGGAAAACTAACAAAATTGTTGCCTCTTAAGAACAGCATTTTGCAAGCTTGAAAAGGAAGCAATTATAATTGTCTTGGAGAAAGGTTTCTTGTCTTTTCTTCTGTCCTCTTAAAGTAACTGACAGTTCAGAGAACTTGAGCTATGCCAATTCTACTAGAAGAGAAAATATCTTGCATTATTCCAGTTCAAAGATAATGAAAAAATAAAGACATTTACAGGAAGTGTGAGAAAAACAGAAAGAAGTCTCTTTATTAATTTTGCTAATGCTTTAAGAAAACATATGCATAAAGGAATCATATTCTCACCTGCTGGAGAACACACAGTACAAAAGGATTATCATTTGAAGAGGTAGTTAAAAGCCTGCAGTTAATAAACCAACTTTACAAACACTGACTGTCTCTCCTTCCATCTACAAGAGTTGAGGCCTTAGGACAAGGAATTATCAAGAAGATAGATAATCTAAATTCCACACACCTACACTCACACTGTTAAATGACTCTGGAGGATGGACCAATTAATGATCAAATTCTTCCAAGTTATCACCAAAATGCTTTGGCAATGAGTGATAGTCTCCTGAAAGGGCATCAGCCTTTTCTTGGTAAGTGCCATCAGTAACTCCTTCTCCACTTGGAGATCCTAACATGGGGCCACCGGGATCAGTGCCATGTGACGGCTTGTCAGCATGTCCAAGGGACCACAGACTGGTGGGAAACAGCATGCCAAATGAAGCCTCATCAGCATCCTTTGTTTCAGCTTTGCAGACATCCTAAAGACTGGTAAATTTAGTAACTGAGGCAAGAGGGAAAGAAAATATGTCTGCCAACCTATAGACCCTGCTTTGTCTCAGTCTGAAGGCTGATGGGCAAAAGGGACGAGAAGCAAAGCCCAAACTTAGTGCTTTCTGCCTAAAATGAAAGCACCCTGCCCCACACACACTGTTACTGAATATTAAGCATGCTCGCACCCTATCCCTGAGCCTGCTCCTGTCCCTCCAGGACAAGAAGGCAGCTATTCTATCTAGTTCATTGATGGATTTACTGGAAGTCAGCTGGGGCAGAGAGGGGGAATAATCCAACCCTTCAGCATTTAACAGCCTTTGAAATGATTCATATAGAAAAGAAACTGAGCAAATATCAACCTGTTCAATTCCTTCACTCTAAGGAAATTAATACTTTTATATGTCACATTAGAACAGTGATGTATAACAGCATCTTCTTGCTTTTTAATCTGAGAGTTCAGGTTAAGATAAAATAGGCATATTTTTTGTGAACATAAATAAATCTCTGTGGTATCTGTTACGGCAATATTTGTGTCTTGAGGCATATGACATTTTCAATTCAGAACTTCCTTTATGGGGAATAAACAAGCAACAGTAAGATAGAACAAGATATGCCCTGGGTCTGTATAGTGCCATGGGTGAGCAGTGAAGAGAGTCACCGCTTTCTCTAATCCAAAAAGAGAATTTATTTTCTTATGACCCATGTCCATTTGGGTTTGCAGTAGACCTGAGACACCATAAAATCTAAAATTTTGCAGAAGAAACCACCAGAAGGTAACCCTTCCTCATTCCTCATAAATTATTGGCAGTTTGCTTTAATGTTTAATTATCTGTTTTAATACCTTACACTGATTTTATTACATTTAATCTTAACCTTTAAGGAATCCTTTGCAAGGATTTTAAATGGAAGCTTTCAGACGGAAGCTTTGGTGATTATTTGCACTGGGGCTTCTGAAAAGAAACAATAACTTGATTTCTTCCAGAGCCTTAACTGGCTAGACAGAGGCTGAGCATACTCCCTTGTATTGGTCATAGGATGTGCCTCACTACTTAGCATCACAATTTTCAACAGTGAGCTGCACAACAATGTCACAAATGCACAGGAGATAATTCACTGTAAGGAGAAGATTAAGTCTGAATTCCTTTAAAAGGACACATTGTGGTTTTCTCCTAATGAAAGGCAGGCATCTATTAATAGACATACATGTTCTCTGGCTGATTATGGAAACAAAGCTGTCTTTTGCATGGTTTGAAAGGAATGGGATTCCCTTCCCCCCAACTCTTTTTTTTCCACTGCTTCTGATGTTCTGTTGTCTTGGTCTACACTTAGAAATATTACCTGTTCTGTGTTTAAATCCAGTATTGTTCATTGCCTTGCCATGCGTAAGCATACTCTATGCTAGCATGCAGATACCCTTGTTTATGGAAGATGCTTTATAAGGTTTCTCACTGAATACTTACAAAACTTGGATTTGACCTCCAGCATTTTGCTGATTTCGAGAATCTGGCTCGGGCTCATCTGTTTTTTGCCATGATCACACAAACAGCTTCTTTGTGTTCTACCCTCTCACCATCCTCCTAGTATAATCTGTTTGAAAACAGCTCATTTCAAGTGTCACAGGTGCTATTTGACTTTCCTTACTTTCTCTCTTCAATTCTCCGTTCTTCCCACCTTACAACCAAAGTATCTTTTAGACCACAGTGTACTGTTCATAGATTATTTATGTAGGATGTAGAAATCTTGAGAACTCATTTTTAAACAAAACGTAACCGATAGCTGAACACTTTTAAGCTGTAATATGAGGAAAAAAATAAAATGTTCTAGAAAGATGGCATTTCACTCAGTCAATATTGAATGTTTAATTCTTTTCTGAGCACGAAAGGAAAGCTGGCTTAAAATATTTTTTAAATCTCTCGCCTCTAGCATTTAAACTATTATAGCAGTCTTGTATCACATTTTTAAGCTTTTCTTCAAAAACATGACTAGGATGATTTAGTAAAAAGCTAACCTTAAATTCTCAAGAAATTACATTATTCCAAAACCTTAAAATTAACAAAAAAACCCACAAACATCTAAGTTAAAAGCTGTAACATCATATTTCAACTTTTGGTTAAGCTTACCTCATTTAAGCTGTTAAATTGCTCAGTTGCTTCTTTTGGTGAAATGCATGTGTTCTGATCTATTCTACAAAACAAAATAAGAATGTTCACTCAATAGATTGCTTATCTGTGATGCCAACATTTAAAACCTTTCATCATGTCTGCACATAAATTACAAGTTATAGGATAAAGTTGTTTTATTTAAAAAATAACATTTCTATCAAAGTTACATCTGTATTTTATGCCTCATTCAAAACAACAGTGATTTTACTGGAATCCTAAATAGTGTATTTAAACTGTGAATAAGGTCCTGGAAACTATGACATTAGAATCTGGCTTGCTCTGCCACAGAGAAAAAGTTCTACAGAAGTATGATCAACTCCCAGTATCTTTGTGAGACAATGGAATTAAAGCCAAGAGAAAGCTCTAGCATATGTTTATATCTAAGCACAGTTTGTCCCCCATGCTTTAAGTCAGGAACAAGAGTTTTCCTGTATCAGAGCCATGGAGAATACATCTTTCCATATTTAAATTTGATAGTATTTCAGGCTCCCAATCTTCTACTTTCTGCTTAAGTTCTGTTTTGCAAATTTCACAAAGACCCAAAGGACTCTTATGTGGAGCTGGAAATCCTTTGAGTAAGAAAGGTTTTCTAGTGTCACTTTGCAGCCATCGGATATGTCCATACCTTTGTTTTTTCCCTCAGTGTATCGCTGCTTCTCCACATAGAAAAAGGGAAGGAAGGTCCTGAACTGGCAAGGGGAAAATCTTTTCCCTCAGACTACAGCTACAGACAACTGTGCCCCATGAGGCAGATGTGGTCATGACCTAAGACTCCACACACCTACCATCCTACCAGCTTCAGGATTAGTTAGTTACAAATTAACTTTACCAATGAATGAAATTGAAGCCTAAAAAATCCTTCCCATGGATTAGGTGAGAAACCTGAATAGTCTCATACCACAGCACTGTCCTTCCCCAAAGCAAATGAATGATTTCCCCAGTCAGCTTCAAAGCCTGACATGGGTATGTCACAAGCTGATTTGCAAGAAAGCTGAAGAAAGAAAACTATAGCTGTCTCAGAGAATGAGATTTCTCATTGCTGAAAAGGTATCAATGTTTGCTGGCCCCTGTGAGACTCACATGATCAAAAGTAACACAAAATCCAGGTTCCTTTGGCCAAATTTATTGATATTTTTCAGCCTATTGTGCTCAGAGTCTTCTAAGCAAAACCAAATGGTGTTAAGTCTAGAAACCTCAAAAACAGTGCAGACAGATGCACAGGACTTTGTTGTAGCTCTTTGTATTTATGAGACGTTTAAAGACTGAAATCATGGCATGCTGCGCGCATTGGCATACAGACATTTCAGGGAGCGAGCCGAGCACACCGATTTCACCCTAGGATTACAGGAGGCCTCCCAGTCTTCATCAATTCCGGAGCGCTGTCCCACTGAAGCAAGCCGAGCTACAACCCCATCCCCCCATAAAGTGGATATGCCACTTTCTATACCAGAATAGACATATTAGATATCTACACTAGAGTAAACACTTGACTCCAAACAGGATACCAGGTGTGCAATTCACATTGAAACAAAAATGAGTCATAGGTGGTATACATCTAGCACCAGAATGGGAAGTCTCACAGACCAGCCAGACCAGCCAGCTTTAACCCCCTCGAGATTCTTTATCAGCAAGGTGCCTTGACTGACTGCTGCACAAGCACCTATCTAGATCTCTGTGTAGCTCTCTAGACATATATGCTTTCTGCCATTTCACCTGAAAATGAATAGCAAATGTCGCCATAATGTGAAGCAAAGAGAAAGAAAATGGAATTACAGAAGCAAAAATTTTAATGCCAAACAACTAGCTTCTAGCTTTTAGGGATCAGAGAGAACTGTAGAAGACTGCAGAAGAGAATTAAAGAAAACTAAAGCATAGGGAGAACAAAAGAAGTAATTTAATAGAAAAAAATTAAATATTCATAGTTTGGTTTAATAACATGTAAGAAAGAACCAGCAAGGCTACAAACAGCTGGAGAATTAATTCAGTAGTGAAAAAAAAAAAAAAACTTAGAGTGATTTATTGCACTGAACTAGAGCTAGACATAAAAAAATAGAAGAAAAGGACACATGACAGATTTGTACACTTCTGGTATTCATTTGGATGACTCCTTTCAAGGTCATAACACACAGCAAATGTGAACTCTCCTTAGAAAAAGAAAACAAAACCCCAAATGCTAGCAGCCGTTCTTACATGTGCAATATGATGTTCTACATAATTCACAGCTGTATCACTCACACAGTCTTGAAATTAAAAAGTTCAGAACATCTCTGAAGTACCACCTCTCTCTCATCCAGGCTGATGATCTTGTCTGATTTTTTAGAATAAGTCTTTTAGCAGAAGTCTTGCATTTTGCTGCTTACTTTTAACTAAAAATGATGGAGTAAGATGCTTTTTGTTTGCATTTTTTTTTTGGATCCTGGATATATTGAAATCATTAAGGTGAATAACCATTTTTGGGAGAAGACCATTTACATAACTGTATGCTGAACTGACCTTACTCGATATAGAAAATTTTGGGGTCTGTTTTTTTTGTTTTCACCAAGATTAACTGCTCTGCTAGGCAAATGCAGGTTATCTGATTGTCACCAGGCAACAAGGGGCTTGCAATTTAATAACTATGGGTTGGATTCTACTCACATTAAAAGTCAATCACAAAATATCCATTAACTTCAAAAGCAGCAGGAGCAAACCCTAATTTTCCATCTGTGCTGAGTACATTAAACGTATTTTAAGACTTAGCTGAAATTTTGAATAATTGCAGGCAACCCTTATTTTGTATAATTTTCATAATGTAAAATAATGAAAAGGGAATGCTTTCCATGGCTACCACTCAAATATATGTTATACCATATACTTTCTAAAATATGAAAGGCCTGATCTCCCACCCTCCCTATAGACTCTGGTTTTGGCAGAATTACCCTCTTCTATATGGCACAGATGAGAAAGATGCAACTCAGTAACATGAAGGTTGTGGACATCACAAAACAAAGTCCATATTCTAATTGTCATAACAGAGCTTCAACCAAACTGCAAAGGGAAGATCAATTTGCATGAGCAGTACGCTGTTTAAAAAACAAACCAGAACATGTAAATTATTGAATTATGCATATCACTTCTAAACTTGCATAAAATTCAAATAAAACCACATAATTAAAAAAAATAAAAAGAATGTTTAAACATAACCTAAGAAAATTCACTTCTTATTTCCCAGACTAAACCCTTAAAGGAACATTACATTCTGTAATTTTGCAATCCTTAATCTAGTCCAAACCTGGATTACACTAACACTATACTCAGGAGACTTACGTGTCTATGCACCACAATGCGACACTTGCTCCATGTCTTGGCCCAATTAATGAATTACTGGTGCCAAGATAAATTCTGGCAAACAAACCCTACACTACACTGTGGTATGAACCCCCTTTTTCCAGATTCACTTTCAGACTATCCTGACCCAGTACTCCTTCCCTGTCTCTAGTCTAGTAATCCCAGCGTGGGGGTGACCCACCACGTTAACAGCTCAGAAAGGGTAGCCTCAGAGGACTGATCCAGCCTATCCAGGGGTTACATTACACGAGTTCACAGAAGAAAAGAACCTGCAACCAACACACCTCAGTGCCAGGAAAACACAAAGGTCCTTTCTGAGACCTCCACAACTGGCAAAAAGTGTTATGAAATTCATAGTCACCACCTTAATACAGGGCTGCAGGTGAATGCTTCAAAAACAGGCTTATGAGTCCTTATAAAGCAATACAGAACTGCAACAGGCCTTTGGATGAACGTAAAGGGCACTTTTGCAATGAAAGAAACAACACCATTAAGGGCCCAAGGCTGTTTGGGTACACCCTAGGCTACTCCTTGGTCAGTCCTTGAATGCTGGAATAAGCAGCCAGCCAGAGAGCTAGCATACCAGTGCGTGTTTCATCAATCACAGCACTTACATAAAGGCTGGCTGTGGGCAGCTGGACAGCCACACTTGTTTTTCATCTTATGAGCACCTCTCCCACTCACCAGGCACAATCCTTACTTGGGCTACAGTAAGATGCCTCTTTTTTAGTATTTTCTTTTTTTTTTTTTTTTGGTCTCTCTGCCTGTTTCTTTTTCTTTTTTTTTCTTTTTGTTTTGTTTTGTTGGTTTGGGTTTTTTTTTCCTTAAGTGTATTGCAACCCAAGAGCTTGCTCAGGCATTTTCCATGGCTTGATACAAGAATTATCATTAAACCAATATTTTAATATCAAGATTCCTGAAGAAATTGTTCTTAGGAACTGGTCAGTCATTTCCCAGCAAATCAGTGTTTCACCAGCAAATCCTGGTTTGCTGACAGAGAGCTATTCACAGACACATACTGGCTTGATGAATCTTTGCCAGGTCTGAGGAAAGACTCAGAGGGAATCCAGCCAAGTTCTCTCCCTCCTCACCTGGCTGCCTGTGTGGGAACACAGCCTTGCAAGCTCTGTCTCACTGTGCAGGTCTGCCATATGGCATGAGGACATCAGCAGTTCTGCAGCTTCCCTACTTCCTCCCACATATCCCTCAGTTGTAGCTACTCAGCAGAAAGCATGGAAAATACAAGTCCCCACCTGAACTGCACTCTCAAAAGCTACTTGCCTTGAAAGCTTAAATACTAAAAGCCTCACTAGAGCGTAGTTTCCCACAGGGCAGCACAGAAACTGGCTGAGTCCAAGATCCAGGGCAGACTGCTCCTGGCATTTCCAGTTTTCCTGAAGAACAGTCATAGGTCTCACAGAAACTGCCACCCTACAGCCTCTGTAGAAATTAGGCACCAATCAAGGGACCAGCTGATTCCTACTAAATTAAACCCCTCTAGTCCCATTTTATTTGGGGAATGGAGAAGAGGAAGAGCTTTCAAAGACTTTTTCTTTGGCACAGAATTTAACCCCAAAGTGTAATTCTGACACTGACTTGGAATGCAACCTTCTGTAAAACACTGACGCTCCCACTGCCCAGGAGTCCCATGTTTCAGCTCCCTCTCTGTGTACAGGCATCTGAAGAAAACACCATCCTCTATTCGGGCAACTGCGTACACAGCTCTGCAATCCACATCAGCTTTGCTGACTGCCTTTGAGAAGGCAATTGGTAAAAGCAACCTTTTGTAATCATCTGTATTGTTCCACACTGGCTTTCCTATTCTCTGTTAAAAAAAAAAAAGGAAATTCTTTTTATTTGTTCCCGTAGCCTGCATATATCTTCTACCTCCCAAAGGTGCAGATTATATTACAATCATACCCAAACCCAACTACACACAATGTCTAGAGCAGTATTCAATGTAATCACTTGCAATAGTATTAGAAATTCATGTTCTTGTAATAAAATGTAAATGTTTCCTTCCTGCAGATGGCATTTCATATTCTAAATTGATGCTGATTTTCATAAATCATGCACAATACATATCTCTTAAAATTAAAATTCTTGATTTACAGGTCATGTGTAGTTTAGCCAAGAAAAATACAGTATTCCCTCATTCTTCTGACTATAGTGTTTTCACAAAGTATTTTTTCATTTCCCTCAAACCCTGCTAAAACTTTTCTTTCACTGTTTCAGTGGTTATCATATAATGAAAGTAAATGTACACACTCCCCCCCCAAAAAAACACAATTAACATATATACTTCTAAGTTGTATTTTTGTAGATTGTTTCTCTTATATTGCCTATTTTTTTCTGTCACATACCTGTTAATGAATACCCCTTGTTACGTTACCCTGAATTTAGATTTCTCTGCTTAACAGGGACTATACTGAAAGTTTTTCATATCTCAGCAGTTTTTGATCCATATTTAGACAAATTAAAACTATCCTGGTTTTAGCTGCTCCATACTCACTAGAACAGATCTTCTAAAAACTCTGTACAGTTCAGAGGCATTTACCTGAAACTCCAGTAAGACTAATGACAGAGCTACAGAAGTCTGCAGAAAATGAATTAGAGCAGAAGTAACAAGCCACACTAGAAACAATTGACATTGCTTCTTAGTATGAGACAAATAAATCCTTCTTCTCCTACCCTCCACACATACATCTATGACTGTATCAAGTGGCACCCTTGTAGCAGTGGGGCCACCTCCTGTTCTCCAAAAGACCAGATAGCTTTTGGTCTATGACTTGGGGATCCTATGAAGATGTAGTGTTCCAAAGCACTGCTAATTTTAGCAGTAACCTAGCAAAAAAAGGGTAGAAGATAGTAAAACTCGAGTTTTGTGAGGCTAGCAGATGTGTTCTGTCAAAATCTAGCTATGGTTGTTGTCTGCTGCCAAGGCTGAATACTTAACCTTTGCCATGTCCTAGAGCAGAAAAGGCAGAAAACGAGGCAAGACGTCACACTCTGGCAGCTATGTTTCACAGCTTGTTCATGAGCCAGTTCTATTATTCTGATGTAGCAGCCAGAGACATACAGGAGCTGAGATATGGGCATGTAATTGCTCAGGCCCTATCAAAGCTGACTGACATCAAATGGTTGGGGCAAGCTGCTGGCAGCACTTCAAAAGAGCCACCAGGAACAGTCACCTTCAAACTGAAAGTAGTAACTTCAACATATGTGACTCAAAGTTCTCTGCCCCAGCTGGGTGCTGGGAATGTTTTTTCCAAGGACAGTTAAGGCAGTTAAAGTAAACAAGGAGTGCGTGTAAGGCCAAGGACTATGCATTAATGCTTTTCTACTACAAGTTCCTTATTTAAGAGTAAAATCTCCTCTGTTTTGTTGTAATATAAACAAATAAAGACATGGGCAGAGTTGAGATTTTATCATTATGCCTTCACAGCTCCTAGCATGGTAACTTCAGGTACCATTATTTAACAGGACAGCAGGCTTCCTAAGGAGCTAACCTGATGTTAAATGGGAATGAATGGCGTAATGAACAATGGTTTAATACCAGGCAATCTAAAAAGGCCAAACTGTTGAAATGAAGCGGGAAACTTTGCTGTGGCTTGTTTTATTCAGGCATACTCTACTCCTTATCTTTAAAGTCCATATTTATTTAATCATGTTCCTTTCATCAATCAAAATTAGCCAAAGTTATTTCATTACCTACCCATACACAGACCACCTACCAGCAAAGCCACTAGATAGGTCTAACTCTCTGATACCAAACTCACTATTCCCCTTTGTACAAGAAATCCATGTAATTTTTTCCTACCATTGAAAATGCCAGAAAAAGAGAAGTCAGGTTTCCTTGGCTGGGTCCAATCAGAAACACTCAGAGATGCAGTGTTTCAACTGCACATACAAGCACTGTAGGGTGGAAAGGTTATTTGTGAAAGCTAATTAAATGCTTGGTCATTGTGCTAAAACTTCCTTTGGGAGCACAAATTAATATCATTTACCACATCGCCTACTAAAAGCTGTAGTGAAGGCAACCAGTTCATTTCATATAAAGCACTAAACTGACATTGGATGGCAACTGTCACTGCTAACCTAGCCCTGACTTGAAATACGTCTTGGAAGCAACTAATTCTGCATGCCAGCTAGTTGTGCCTGTAGGCACTGAGCATCCCTGGGATATACAGCTGCTGCTCCAGGGTCCCCAAAGTGAGCCAGAGCCCCTGCCACACAACACCAAAACTGTCATGCACCTCAAAACAGAGAACAAAGAGCATAGACCTGGCTCACCTGACTGAAATTCTATGTGCACATCAAAGCAGGGTCAAACCAGCACCTGAGCATGGGAAATGGGTAAAAGAGTGCCCCAAAAACTGATGGCTGTGAACAGCATGATCTCATGCTCTGTGAAGGGCATGATTGCAGGCACAGCTACAGGTTGGGCAGAGAAGAGATTCAGAGCAGCCCTGCAGAGAAGGACTTGGGGGTGTTGGTCAATGAGAAAATGAACATGAGCCCGCTTCAGTGTGTGCTTGCAGCCCAGAAAGCCTGCATCCTTTGATGCAGTATCCTGGGCTGCATCAAAAGGAACATGACCAGCAGGTCGAAGGAGGTGATCCTGCCCCTCTATTCTGCTCTTGTGAGACCTCACTTGGAGTATTGTGTGCAGTTCTGGTGTCCTCAACATACAAATGACATGGACCTGTTGGAACAAGTCCAGAGGAGGGCCATGAGGATGATCAGGGGACTGGAGCACCTCCCATATGGAGATAGGCTGAGAAAGTTGGGGCTGTTCAGCCTGGAGAGAGAAGACTGCGTGGAGACCTCATAGCAGCCTTCCAGTATCTGAAGGGGGCCTATAGGGATGCTGGGGAGGGACTCTTCATTAGGCACTATAGTAATAGAACAAGGGGTAATGGGTTAAAACTTAAACAGGGGAAGTTTAGATTTGATATAAGGAGGAAGTTCTTTACTGTGAGGGTGGTGAGGCACTGGAATGGGTTGCCCAGGGAGGTTGTGAATGCTCCACCCCTGGTGGTGTTAAAGGCCAGGTTGGACAGAGCCCTGTGTGAGATGGTTTAGTGTGAGGCATCCCTGCCCACGGCAGGGGAGTTGGAACTAGATGGTCTTAAGGTCCTTTCCAATCCTAACTATTTTATGATTCTATGATTCTGTCATTTGCACAGTCCAAGCCTGCCAATAAGAGCTAAATTTTATCTTTAAGACACACCACTGATAGATTGGGTCAGTTGGTTGTGCTGAAACACCATTTTTAGCCTTTTGCACAGCCATGAAGGATTAGAGAAGTAACTGTGACTTCCAGCAATCACTACAGCTGAGTTACCTGCCATCAAGACTCAACTAATGCCTAACCTGCACCCTTCAACTGGGACATGCACAGTTGCCATAGCACCTCGAGTCTAAACCATACATAAATGCATACCCTTGCTAAAATCAGGTGTGCTGATTCCCATTTTTCAGTGAGAATACAGCTCTGAAAAGCAAGTCAGCACTTGGGGGAAAGGGAAAGAAGTGCCAAGATATTTTTGAAACTTGGCACAGAGGAATTGAAGTTTCTGAACTGAGGATGTTCTTCCAGCTTAAAATGTAAGGGGTTTAAAGAATTATGAAATTTGCATTCTTATCTTCATCCCTTTCACTTTCCCCAACCAGTTCTAGTCATATAAACACAGATTACACCTGCCAATGAGAGTCAGGAGTCTGAATATTTTATACAAAAGGCAGCAAATTAATTAGCCTTCCCTACAGTTAATCAGAAATGAAATGTGCTGTCTTATGCCAAGGCTTACCTTGGTTGAAATCTCACGACTGCTTCCTGGCATCTTAAAGGTACATTCTGTGCATAGTCATTAGCTGAGGGTCCAGCCTTCCCCTGCCGCTCTGGGGGGCCTGGCAATGCAATATCCAGCTCCTGCACAAAGAAAAGAAATGTTGAACGCCCTGTCAGTACTAATCAGGCTTAACTGATTATTTTGCTTTAAGAAAAAAATAGCTCCATGAGACCAGATGCTGATTGTGTTTCTCTGTTATTTTTTAGTAATTATCTAGAAACAACTGGAAAATAGACTAGAAAAGGTTCTAATCAGAGTAGTGTCTTCTTTCATTCTTTCACTGTAAAACATTTTACAAAACCAAAGCAGACTGTAACCCATTTTCTGTTTATTAGTTAGATAAGAAATGTCAGCTTCTGAGCTAAGAGGTGCTATACACAGAATTTAATATTATTTTGCTTACATATGCACTCATATTTAATTTGAAATTATTTACTCATATGTCAGTAATATTTTATTACTTGGTCACTATCAGAAAAATTTTGGTTGACAAAAGCAAATGCAATTCTCTTAAGTAAGATTTGCAAGGTTTAACCAGTTTCCTTTTTCATTTTGCTCTTTCCCTTCCCTAGCATATGCATAGCTTTATGAATAGAGCATTACTGCAAAAGGAGTGAAAGGCAGGGAGGAAAAAAGAAATCATTTTAGCCAACCTGCCATACAGAAAATAAAAAAGCCAATTTATTCCAACAAATTGAGGGAGTAGGAAATAGAAAACTATGCATTTTGCTTGAGGCTTTTGAAAACCAGTTGTATGGCTGTGGCAAGACATGTTCAGCTCACCTTAATTTCTTTACCTATAAAGTGGGTTATAATATTTTCCTTGCATTCAAAGGGGTAAGTTAATGAAGTTCTTTGAAAATGCTATAATAAAAGTGTGACTTTTTCCTACTTCTTTATTAGCTTTTATCATCTAGTATTTTATTCTAATAGTTTATAAAATTAAAATACAACATGCTTTGCAAAACAGTAGTGTTCACTTCCTCTGGTAAAACCATATATCTGAAAAAATGGAGGTCAGAAATTTGGATAGGACTGTTCGAATGGGAACATGGAGGGCTAAGGTCATTCTACATTTAGATATGCTTAGTTTCAGACATTGACAGCAAAAGCTGTTAATACAGTTAGAAAGAAAACTTTGGGTGCTATGTAAATGAGTGAAACAAGTGCATTTCAAATTAAGCAACTGTTTCTTATGGCAAAAGATTGTTAGTGTTGTAGTATTTAAGTTAATCAGTTGAAGCAAGTCAGTCCAGCTAAAGTGCAAAACCAAACCTGCATTACAGTAGTAAACTTACTTCAGCAGAAGCATCTTCTGCAACATATAACCCTCTCCAATATCAGAGGAGAGGACATGGCAATTCAAGATGCTTTCTGCTAGATGAAAGGGAAAGCTGAGGACAAGAATATATGCTGGTCATAAGTGCTCACTTGCAGTCTTGATGTTTGAGGACATAGGTGGGTTTTGGTTTGGTGGGTTTTCTTTTCCTTTTCTTCTTTCCCTTTGTTGTTGCTCATCAGTAATGTGATTCAGGTGTAAAGAGTAATCTCTAAGGAAACACCCTTGAAGTCTCTGTTTCTCAAGAGCAATGAAATCCATTCCTCATGTGTCAAAGGCATTCAACAGTATAGTGCTGTCTTATATTGTATTTTACTTTCCTCTTAACTATGGAGTGAAGCTTCTACAATGAGGTTGTATCTGGTAAGAAGTCTGTGAAGAAGGAAATCTCCAGCAAGTCTTAGTACTGCATAATCACTGATACTTGCCATGATACCTGCTTTATATACTAAATAATATGTGGGTTTAAAAGCAGACAAAAATTAAAGCTTCTGCTTCACAAGGTATCCTTTTTTAAATCTATTTCCCTCAAAAAACCCACAGCATGTCATAATCCATCTCTGTCAGAGCATCTGAATTATAGTACAGGCATACAAACTTTTGCTGTGTTTATGGAGTAGCTTCATCTGCTCTTGGACTCCAGAAAGTGCCTTGCAGCTTTTATATGCTTTATGCAAAACACAAACACTTCCATCTCTCTTCAAATGCAAGCACCATGCAAATATTGTACTGGCACTTTGGACCCCAGCCCTGGCATACCTCATGGTGCTGTGTCAGTTAGAAAATAGCCAGGACTGAAGTCCTGAGCAGAAGTGCCTCCTACCCCTCCTGAAAATGCCAGTTCATACAAGAAAATAAGTAGATACAGTGAATGGACAGTGAATTGAACAGATTTAATCCATGATGGAGGTACTGTTTAGACATAAACAGAGTGTAACTAAAAACTGAAGTGGAACTTGCAGACTGCCTGACATGTTTACGTGTTTATGTAGCTAACATGTTACTATCAGCTCTGTGGTTTTTACTTTGAAATCCGTGCAATTTGCCCACATAATTTATACTCAAAATACAATATTTCACACAGCAGTTTTCAACATTCCTATCCTGGCACTGATTGGCAAGCCACTATTTAATTTTATAGTAATTTACCTTAATAATAAAACTGAATTTTTACAGTCTCTACCTACCAGCTAGCATATTTAGTGTCATTTTCTAAGTATGTCTCAGTATCAATAAGGAATTTGAGGATGACTCAGTTAAAAATCTATATTCATGAGTGCATCAAAGGTGAGTGACAGGAGAAAGGATTAGGTAAGGAAAGCAGACTTTCCATTCCTAACCACCTGTTCTTACACTGACTGTCCTGCGTATGGTCTGAGCATATGCTTTCTCACCAACTGAAGCCAAATAAATCCTAATTAATTTGATTTCCTATAGATTAACACTGCAGAATTGCTAAAGAAGCTCATGAAACCATAGGAAAGATGAAACTAAGTAGCTGGAGTACAGCAATGTAATCACATTCCAGCAGCCTGCCTCTCTTTCCATACTTTGGAAAGGCTCCAACTGCCCCCATACCCAGCTCCTGCCCCCAGATAAATAACTGCATGCAATATCTGAGGTACCGTTTTTCTCTAGTGACATTTTATCAGCCTATGAGTGCTCAAGTGAAGTTATTTGGTACTGCACTATTATTAAACTTGATCTTGTTAATTATCTGTAGATGTAGTAACCTCTTCTTCATTAAGACCTAGGTTACATGACCACAATACTACAATTGTGTCCAAAATAATCAGGGGTACAGGAATCACACTTCAGCAGGCTGTGAAACATAAAATCCCCAAGATGGCCATCTCTTGTCTATTTCAACACGGTGGACTGTTCTCTCTCACTGACCTTTCTACAACGGAATTCCCCTGAATTCTCACCAGTAGAAAGGCATGCAAAATTGGCTCCCATACAAATCTGCTTTAATCCTTTCAATGCACATAGCAAACTTACTTATTCCACAGTAACCCATGATTTTAAATGGGCAAATTTCTGAAACAGCAGCTCGTGGGTTTATAACACACAGGAGCAAGTAGCAAACATTTCCTTGGCTTATCAGAGCAATGCCTTTAAAAGAGATACTGTCAGTGCAATATTGTCACTGTTTGATGCTTCAGAGAAGTCAGATTGGGGAATTGAGGAGACTGTTGAAAGAGCACTCTATCAATAAACTCAGGAAAATGAGGATGAAGTTTGAACACCATGTGCAGTGCATCATGCTTTTTTTGTGTGTAAGTGCATGTACTCAGATATTGCTGTTTGTCAGCTCAACCTCAGGTGCTTCTAAGTACATCGTTTGTTTCACTGAGTGACTTGGTGTCAAGGTGTTTCACAAAAGGAAGTTATATGGAGTTCACAGTATTTCAAAGCATCAGCCTGGCTCACATTTCCGGGTAACAATAAACTGCCATGTACATATGTAATTGTAGGAACTAATGAATTGTAAATAAACTGATTCTTTCTATCTATCTAACAGCTACTAGAAACCACACAAGAGCACCTTGCTTTCAGTTTCAAAATGGAGAGGAGCAATTGCTACCAGTTCACAACTAGGGTTGCTAACACAGACAGCTGCAATAGTGTTTGGAAGGTCATAACATACTGAAGATCCCAAGGAGAATCCACTTACAGAAACAAACCCTTTGCAGAAGTCTTCTGCAAGCACACCCTTGTTTTCATGGGTGTTGCAAACAAAGCCAGGAGCCAGATGCTGGCTTCTTTAAGAATAAAAGCCCTTATGGTAGCTGAAGATGCAGAAAGGCAAGCACTCAGGGTCAAGGAGCATGCACATCCTTACTAATGAAAATGAAGGCTGTGCAAACTGAAAGGCTTTGTAGATGTGTTCTCCAAAACAGCTTCCTTCTGCAAACAAACTATTCCAAGAGGCAAGCTCTTTACAGCAAGCACATCTGAAATCAGGGTGGATACAAGATACCTATCGAAAAGTACTAGGATACAATTCCTTGTATGAACGACTGGAGTTCCTACTGTGGAACAATGTTTGCTTTGTGTTTGTGTTGTATATTATACTCAAAGCTCTACATGAGCTCTCATCCCTCAAGTGAGATGAAATGGTACCTAAACATCTTACCTCTTCCAGTATGCCAGAAATGGGAGCAATGAGTTCCGTAGGGTCCCAGGACCACTTTGGTCTTTCCTAATTCAGGCCTTTGAGTCATGTGAAAATTATCTGCCTGACACTGTTTTTCCTTCCTGAAGCTGCACATCTAAGTTTCACTGGTATGTTATGGCAGTCTAATTATATGCTTAAAAAGTTTTCCATGAAAGAATATCAACATTTTCAGTTAACCACTTCAAGCCACAGAAAATACTATAGAGCAGTAAATCTGTGCTGTTAGCTTTCAGTGGATGAAAGATATATGCATGGCATATGCAGGGAGCAGGCAGACAAGAGACTCGGAAGTGGTTGAAAGAGCAACAGATGGTCTATGATACATCCCCATTTATGACTTCTTCATGACTCTTCTTCCTGATATGCCTCCACTTGCCCCTTATAGGGCAAAATTTCCTAATTTTTTTTATCTGCTGATAAACATGCATATCTTGCCTCCCTGCAGCCTCAATAATATTTGCTAGTAAAGCAATACAGTTGCAAAAGATCAGAAGTTAGTACATCACCTCAGGGGTGAACTCCAGAAAAGCATGTAAGAAGAGTAGGACAAGAGCTGACATTAATACTCTGAAATGAGACTGTGATAATACCATTTGGATGCCATTAACTTTTACTTTTTCTTCTGGAATTCTAAAGGATATTCCTCACTTAGAGGGTAAAACTTGCCATCCAAAATTATGAACTCCCTAAGTTTGAAAAACTGGACCAAAATAATTCCTGGTCTATGATGGGTTCAAAGCATTTTAGAAAGTGCTCTGCAAATTTCTAACCACAAACAAGAAAAGAGAAACAGTAAATGACCAAATAATTATACATCAAAGAAGAGATGTAAATGCAAACATCTGTATTTAACAATGTCAGGCCTTGTGCCAAATGCAGTCCAACAATCCACCAACACATTAACATCAACTCTATTGGTTACGAAAATATTTCCAGCTGAGGGGTTAAACCTGGACCAGAACTCTACCCTTTAGACCTCACATAAGACATGACTTGGGAAGCACCAGAGAAAATAGAGGCACCTCCAGCAGCTGCTGGGAAGTGGTAACTGGAGTCTACGTAGCAATGTACCACCACAGACAGCAGCAGAAGCTTCTTCATTTCTAGTCTTCTTTTATAGCCCTTAGAAAAGTTACAGTTCTGCTCCCTCAGCTCAACCTGGGAAGCCTGTGGGAAAGAGTGCTGGTACCAAAATCTCCACTGGAATAGACTATTATTTTAAAATTAGAAACAAACAAACAAAGCAAACCACAAACAAACAAAACCAGAAAGTAAGATAAAGTATGCAAGCTCTCTGTTGACAGCCCAAATACCAGCGTGAGAGATCCTCAGTAAAATAAAACAGAAAAAGCCTTGTCAAAAAATGAGGGTAGATTACTGTGGGGTCTCAGTTACATCATGGATTACCAGGGAGTCCCACTTTGCATTTCAAAAGGTGTATTTGCTCAGACACTGTGCCATAAACCTACCCTTAGCAAGTTCAGTTCTTTACCTGACTTTCCTCATGGCTTTTTCCATTTTCTAGCTTTGCAATGGGCTTAGGTTTTCTCAGCTTCAAGTTACCCATTTCAGGCTTTAGAGCATAGTCAATTACAGCCTGCTGCTTGTGATGCTGAGTATCTTGCAAAGGCAGCTGCCTTTCTTCTAAGACAGCAGTGTTGTCGGGATAATTTTCTTTGTTATCATCATCTCTGTAAGAAAATAAAAATTGAAATGTATCAGGTAGGACTTCCGACACCTGTCAAAACATTATGAAGGAAAAACAGCTATAAGTTCTTAACTCTTCATGGCATTTTAATTTTATGAAGTTGAGTGGTCTTACACCTCAAACACTGCTTATGCTAGTAACATGCACCTGAGAGGCTACTGTTTACTGTAAAATCACAAGTTAAACTACTGTTAGTATTATTACACATTCAATTGTGGAGCCATTTAAATAAGACTAGTTTTAAAGGCACTTTCTGGCTTCAGCCCTATAGTTCATATACCCCCAAAAAACCCTGAAGCTGTCTTTTTCATGCAGAAGACCTTTGCCCATCTAGGTTATAATGTCACAAAAACATCTTCACATCCAGTAATTCCTCCCCATTTATATAGTCACACTTCCCTTTTGACAGTCTGCTTTTGAGGGCTTTTGGACAAAATGAGGGAGGCAGGCGTATGAAGTAGGGTTTGGACAGCCAGAGATGTGTTTGAGTGGAAGGGACAAGCATCATGTACCCCCAATTTGGAGCAAAGGTCCTCCTGTGTAACAGCACATATGGTGGTTTAAACAGACACTGTTGATCATGTATGCTCAGGTAATCACTGAATCTGGGACAGATATTTTCAATCTCCGCCTAGCCTACAGCCTGTTCTAAGACCCTGCTAGCCTTATCCACACCCCATCAATCCACACTTAGACTGGTCTAATGCCTTTCACTGGGAGCATTGCCCTGGTACCATTAAGAAAGCTACCGCAATGCACAGTGTGATGCTGCCTGCTTAGTTGGCAGGGTGAGTAGATTGGCGTTACTGCTCCCTGGCTGTTGCACAGTCTGCAAGTGGAATTTTAGATGTTAGTTTCAGCTGGTAAAATCCTAATGGTCAGCTGAGAGATGACCTCTCTCCTGGTGTGGAACTTCCATAACTGAGGGGTTCAAGAACTATTGAATTAATGCCCCTGAGATTTTTTTTTAGCAAGCATAACTTGTTAATTCGATGTTTTCTCCTAAGGATTCTGAGCTGCCAAACTCACTTTCCATCTGTGGCCCATCAGCATCCAGATGGACGCTTGCAGGGTGCCTATGAGTTAAACACCATTGCTGCCCAAGCCTTATGCAAGTGTGCTCCAAGCCAGTTGTTATAGTTACAGGGTAGGGTGCTTTATATCCTAGGGCATTTCAACAATGTGGAGAAGTGTTGCTAATTTTAAGGTATCATCTGATTTAAAGTTTTAAATTCTTTCTGAAATGTTAAGTTGCATCCTCTAACAATCAACATAAAATAACATAGCCATGAGAAATACATGCCTCAAGAATACTTCAGTTGAATTACAATTTGAATTATGTTTTTTTCAGAGATACTCATCAATGAGCATATCAGCATATCCTCATAGAGTTGCAAAACTCCACGTACTAGTACTTTGTACTAGCTGCTATACAGTAAAATTGCCATCAGTGCTGCATCTGAATGAAAGCAATTTGATGTGAAGTTAAGAACACAGACCATAATATATTTACTTACATAATAACTGCTGAAATTAATATTTTTTACACAAAAGCATGCAAGACAAATATGCATTTCCCAGAAATACTAATAGCCTTAACAGTTAATACCCTAGAAATTCTGCATGCCCTTGAGAATAACAGTTTCTTTCTAATGGTTTACAGAAGCATCCTGACAGCTTTATTTGTTGCCAGTGATTTCAGACAAAATTTGCAGTAGAATACCTGGGGCTGGAACTGCCTGCTTGATCTTGATGTACAGAGTCTGAATCACCGTCACACCTTGAAAATCAATAGAAAATAATTGCTGATTTTCTGCCAGCTCCAGAAATTTAGCTTTTAATAACACGACAGTGCAGCTCAAAGCATAAACACATTTCTCCTGCTCTCACATTAGCCGTGGTCATTTAATTCCATAGCTGCTCCATGATAGTCTGTATCTCAGAGGAAGGAAAGGATTTGAGATTTTAAGTGTACATGATTTGGTATGTCATCCTCAGCCAGATAGAAATAATGATGACAAAGAATTCAAATGTTACATAAAAAATACAGGAAACTTGCTGTGTTTAAATTGCTTATATGTGCTTCACATTAAAAAAAAAATAGAAACAATTAGCAAAGGGTGTTCTCCAAGACTCTCAAAAATATTAACTATATCAGAGCAGTCATTCTTTGTACAGCAGGAAAATAAATCCCCGAATACATTAGAAAGTCTTAAAAAGTGAAGTAGCAGATTTTTTTTAAGATACATGAAGAATCATAATCAATTACATCCCCTAAGTTACAAACATAAGGCTGCCTAATCAAAAGAGAAATCTGGATAAATATGCTAACCACTCAGTGCTGAACACTATATTGTGTAGATTGGCTAAACTTTGTAGAATAACTGCAAAGCCTATGAGCAGTCTTTCCTCAAATAGTAAACGTACATATATTTACATACACTTCTAAAATTAGGCATACATCCTTTCAAGGTATTATTTGGGGGCAAAAGTTGGGGCCCTCCTGTCACCCCTATGTTCATACTCACAGAGCACAGACACTAAGCAGGCCTGGATCACTTGAAGTTTGCTGGCAGAGGAATCTCTTCATTATGGGGGAAGCAGCCTGTACTTCCGCTGACTTGTTAAATTTTCAGAAGAGCTTAAGGGCAGAGCACATTGAGTGATAACAGCTCTGTGCTGCAATTTGATAGCAAGGTTTTTAATATATTCCTCTTTCCCACCAATCTTCTGCTAGTATCTTTATCAAAAGCCAGATTGCAGCAGAAAATATTTAAAGGGACATTCAAGTGTTTACATTTCCTGAATACATCAGCATATGGATGAAAGCATTTGCTGCTTACAACTGGAACACGTAACTACAGTTGCATATCCCCCCTAATCGCACAATATTCCTTCAATGAGTGCATTTTTCCCCACAAGGCAAAGTGGGGTGACAGATGGAAGACAGGGGCTGATGTACAAAATGGATAAATTCACTGTAGAAATCTAGTTGCCTTTGCCTCCAAGATGCCAGTCACACCTTCCCTGATCTATCTGATCTATCACTAATTACACTAATTACCTTATGGACACCAGAAAGGTATAAGGATAGGACATACTGGGGGTCAAGAAGGAAACTCAAAGACTCCCCAAAAGGACAAACTTTCTGTCCTGTATGTGCCACAGGAAGAGGAGGTAGGAGGAAGCAGCTCTGCTACCAACTTTATCCACCTCCTTCTCTCACCGATCACCACACTTGGCAACCTTTGGTCCCGAAAGACCATTCTGGGAACTGGGAACACTCACTGGAGGGACAATGGATGACTGAGCACAAGTCTATAATACAAGTCTATGTGCACATACTTATGTGCATGCTCCTTAATTTGGGAAAGTGCCCTGGGGGTTGATTTCCCTAAGCTGACTGTAATAAGGTGATCTTGAAGAAGCAGAGATCCTAACTTAGCATCCGTCAACTGATTAAAGTCGTAAAGCAAGACAGAACTTATAAGCAACACAAGTGAGCATGACAAAATGTATTTGAATAACCAGATAGCACTAGATAAGAAAGATAAGCAATAATGAATCAGAGAAGACTGTGGCCATCATGTAATAAAAGTTTGCAAGGAAGTTCAGAAGCAACACACTCTGAAATTGTTAACAGAAATTTTTCTCTTCATAAAAATAAATACTAACCAAGAAAGCTTATTCACACAGACTGTGCTTGAGGGTAAGACCATAGCAGGACCTTTAAAGAGATGAATTCCTGATATAATGCAAATATCAATTACTAAAGCACAGTGTTTTTACCTTGGCTTCTTTAAGAAATGCAATTTACGTATTCATGCCACCTGTCTGCACATATCAACACAGACATGCACACAAACTTCTCACCAGGAGCTTGCAAACCTTGTTGCCCAACTTTAGCTATATTTAACAGATAAAGGGACAGGCAAGAGTTTGATCAGTTTTGAATATCTTGTGGCTACATGAGAGTTCTCACCAATCCAAAAACTATAGCAGCATCTCATGCATTCCTGAAACATCTGACAACATGCCAGAAGTGCCTCAAGATATAAATCCATACTGGTTGAAGCTTACATTGGGCAGGAAGCATGTCTTCTGACAAAAACAGTGATGTGAATCATTTTCCTTCAGTGGCCAATCTAACTACTGATTGATGGATATGTCTCTCAGAAGTAAGTACATCCTCTCAGCAGCAAGTACATCTCATAGCATGAGTCAGAGTCAGGTCAGAGAGGGATCCCAGTCTAAATGGACTGCTGCTCATATTCTTTATATTACTGCCTCTTTGTTTCTTCCAAGGATCTCTGGTTTAACAGGATTAACTTTTTTAACTTTCTTCCATTTTCACCTTCCCATAGGAGCCATTTCAGTATCACTTGAAAACTGCTCCCTTTTGCTGACTTGACCTTTAAGATGTTCACATGAACTACTCAACCAGGCTGCACACATGGCTTGCTTAGCAGCCCCAGGCACTTGCCTTGTCTGAAGAAATGTTCCTGAAAGTACTGCATCACCAATTTTATACCATTCAGGAGCATTTGATTTTGCATTTGCCACAAATAGAGACAGAAAATGTCAAACAAGGATGTCTAAAGTTGCATGGCAAGCTCTCTCTTTATTCTGCTAAACAAAAGTAACCTATTTTCAGATCTGACCAGCACAAGCAATTAGAGCTGAAATCAGTAAGAACTGCAGCTGTTAAAAACAGGCTGGGAGGAGGGGTTTGTGGGATGGAAGGAGGCTCTAAACAGGAATTAGAGAAATCAACTCTGGAAACCAAGTTTATTGATTTGTACAACACATTCCAGACATCATTGCTCACTTGCTTTGTTTTCTAAAAGCAGGTTTCTACTTCCGTGTTTGGAAAGATAAGATTAAAAACCAAAGCCCCTGAAACAAAACCAAGAGCAGCTTAAATGAGGGAGATTCCTTCTTCAGGCAATGCCTGGCCCAGTCCCAGCTGTGCTATGCTGCTGCCTTGCAGCTCAGCAGGGCACAGCACAGCACTGTCTGCACCCCTCTGCCCTTTCCCCAGGGGCAGTGCTTATACTATGCAGCCAACTTTCATGCCAACCTGGCTCTTGCCATAATGGTCACACGTAGCACTACAGAGAAAGGCATCACCTTCAGGTCCCAGAAACCTTAAGGGTGAGGCAAGCACAGGGGCTGCTCCAAGGAAATCTCTGTGGGAAACAATGGATGCACTCAGGGAGAGAGAAAAAGGAAAGAGAAAGAAAAAAAGAAAGAGAAAAATGAAAGAGAAAGAAAAAAAAAAAGATAATGAAAACTGTACTATCTATAACATGGTAGGACAAGGGGCAATGGGTGTAAACTGGAGCATAGGAGGCTCCATGTGAACATCAGGAAAAACTTCTTTACTGTGAGAGTGACAGAGCACTGGAACAGGTTGCCCAGGGGGGTTGTGGAGTCTCCCACATTGGAGATATTCAAAGCCCGCCTGGACAAGTTCCTGTGTGATGTACTCTAGGTTACCCTGCTCTTGCAGGGGGGTTGGACCAGATGATCTCTCGAGGTCCCTTCTGGCCCTTGGGATTCTGTGATTATGTGGTTATTCTTTTGCGAAGGGGGAGCGTCCCAGAATTTTACAGACCACAATTCAGCACTTAACTAATAGGGACATGGGAAAATAATTAAAAAATTACTTAATAATTTATTATCTTTTGTTAAATCTTCCCATATCTGCCAGAGTCACACAAAACGTGTGACTAAGTTAACATGTTAAATAAAGCAAGACATTGTAAACAAATAAAGCACAACAATGTAAGAGAGTGAAATTACTTGAATCCCTATGAAATGTTACTTTTCCTGTAGGGATTTTGGCAACACTTGGGGATGGCTCAAACAATTACAATGTGGCCTGCTTTCAGAATGTATCCTGTCCCCACAACTCTTAGGAAAACAGCTCACTGCCCAGCTAGTGTGTTTTGAATTATGAACAACTTTCCAGTGCAAAACTCACCTAATACACAAATAAATCTATAAATCATTTCCTTCTTGAGAAACTGTTTGGCACATTATTGCTGAAGAATATTCCCAAGAAGCTTTTGAAACAATCAAAAGCATGTAAAGTAATAACATAGAGAACATCAAAACTGAAGTGCTTTAGACTGAAATAAAACAAAGGTGGTTTCATTGGTAATGGTTTCTTAAAACCTTTGCCTTTCTAACTTCTTAATGTTCTCTCTTGTCCTGCTGTCTCTTTAAGACTACAAAAAAAAAAAAAAAAAAAAGAAAATCAGCACATTTATGTATTGTTATGCTCATTATATATATGAAAGGCCTTTTAATGAGTTTATGGAATTGGTTATAAAGAGATGACATATTTGGTACTTGGTATGTCTAAATAATATACAAGGGTTTTTCACAATATTTGCAAATATTTTTTTCTAATAAAGCTTGCATGAAGTACAGACCATGTGTTCTTAGAAAACTGACATACTTGGGTTTGTCAAGTACCATAAATATGCAATATTTTCACGGAAGATTTATTCTTCACTGAAAATCATGCATTTAAACATGTGTGACGTGCAGCAAACATACATTCTCCCAGAAAAATATTTCACTGGTAAATGATCACAGAGCACATAAAGGCAGCTGTTTCATGCAATCTTTCCCATACAGCCAATAATATACTTAGATTACAGAAAACTGAATTAAAATATATGGAAGATAGCTCCGGAATTCTCACATACTACTTACAATTATTCTCTACAGTAATTAAATTCATCATCCTTATCTAGAAATAAGGACATCTTTAAAGTGTTCACTTACTCTGGTAAAGCTGTTGAGTTGAAGGATTTATCCTGAATGCTGAAACAGAAACAAGAAAACATCAGATAAGTCAGCAAGGCAGGCAGGCTCCCTGAATCCTTCTCAGTTGTAGGAGCACATGCACAAACATGGCATTGCAAGGCAAGTCTCTGTGTGTTAGCTCTACATGCACGACTGTACCTTCGGCTGCTCTGCACATGCTCATAATCAAGGAACCATAGGGATTAGTCCTACAACACTCACAAAGCCCATCCAGCAGCGCTTTGAATTACTACAGGGATCCAGGTAGTCTGTGAGGCTCAGAAAGGGATCATATTCTTTAATAACTGTAACAGTGCTGCTAATAAATGCTTGGGTTAAGAAAGTATCTGCCATTCCATCCTTTAAACATTTGCTCTATGTAATTAGCTCAAACACACTTGTTTTTATTACTTAAATAGGGTTGCTCAGCTAAGATCTCTGGAGGTTTTTTCTTCTTGTCTAGTGGTCCCTTACACACTCAGCCCATGGACAAACCCCAGGGGAACCTATGAAAAAATAATCTGGCAGAAAAGATAGTAAAAGGTTATTAAGCTAACAGCAAGCAATAGGTGAAACCATTCCTGTGAAAGGCATAGGCTGATGTGCTCCTGCCACAAAACATTTCAGACCTTATGAAACACATTCAGAAAAAAAAAAAAAAAAAAAAGAGAGAAAGAAAAGAAAAGAAAATATCACTACATACCAGAGCTGGATTTTTTTTTTGCTTGGGTGGGGGAGGAGAAGACAGTGGAGACAACATCATCTTATGAGCTTTGCTGTTTGTGACAATGACAACAGCACCAAGCAGAGCAGGGGTACAGAGGAGTGCAGCGTCCTCCCTGCAGCAGCTTGTGCCACTGCCTGGTGTTGACACACATCCCAGGCAGCAGCAGCCAGGAGCCACAGCTGTGACAATTTCCCTTCTTCACCAGCAGCATTAACAGTGTATCTTATCTCATCTCTTCCCAGCCTTCCTACCTGCTTGCACACACTATTTAGCTCTTTTCTTTCCCATATTTGTACATATACATCAATTTATACAATAGCACATATTACCTGGGGATCAGAGTATCACAGACAGTGTATAGGGATTTCTGCCCTAGATATCAGCAGGTTTTGTGAGAGAAGGGTGAACAGAAAAGCTAAATTTAATGGTTAGCATATAAATCCTACCTTAGACCTAA